TCGCACGGAGTCTGAGACAGACGGTCTGACAGGCTCCAGGACCATCGATCCCAAAAACAGCTGTGGGCCCGGCCAGGGTTAGGGGTCTCGGGCTTGACTTGGGTCAAGGGCACCTGCCAGGGCTGCAGGCTCGATCCCCAGTGCGGGGCGTGCAGGAGGCAGCCGATCAATGATTCTCTCTCATCATTGGTGTTTCCATCCTTCCCTCTCCCTTCCTCTCTGAAATCAATAAAAAGAAATTTTTTTAAAGAAAGAAATGGCTATAGGGATGAACATTATTTTTTAAATATGTTTATTGATGTCAGAGAGGAGGGGAGAGGGTGAGAGAGAAACATCGATGATGAGAGAATCGTGGGTCGGCTGCCTCCTGCACACTCTGCACTGGGGATCCGCCAGGGGGAATCAATATTGATGTCAAAACAGGACCGTTTTTATGTCCCATAAGCCGTCACTGGGAGCAGGAGAAACCCCAGACTCGCACCTGGCTTCCCGGCGCTGCCGGCTGTGTGTCCGGCTGTGTGCCTGGCTGTGTGCCCGGCGCTGCCAGCTGTGTGCCCGGCTGTGTGCCCAGCTGTGTGCCCGGCGCTGCCAGCTGTGTGCCCGGCTGTGTGTCCAGCTGTGTGCCCGGCTGTGTGCCCGGCCTGCCGGCTGTGTGTCCGGCTGTGTACCCGGCTGTGTGCCCGCTGTGTGCCCGGCCCCCGCAGAAGGGATGGCGTGGCGTCGGCAGCCTTTGTGGTTTCCCTCGTGGTATAAGGAGCTTCCTTCTTGGCTGTCGGTGTGAACGTGGTTGGTCCGTGTCTGAGCTTCCCTTCCTCAGCCGGCGCCCCACACAGACCACACAGAAGCCACCGAGCCGTGGTTCAGGGCGCCCACCCACGGGTGGAACATCGCCTGCAGGGGAGCCTGCAGCGGGGGTGGGGTGGGGGGGCGCCCACTCTGGTCTTGGGGGGAGGGGGTGGTGCTCATGGCAGAAGTTTCCATCCAGACCCGCTCAGCAGGAACCCCAGCTTGTGCTCAGGCGCTGAGAGCGCCATTTCCAACATGGACGCCCCTGACGTGCTTGTTTATTTTGGTCTCAGAAATTTACCTTCGCCAAAACTGGTGTGGCTCAGTGGATAGAGCGTCAGCCTGCGGACTGAAGGGTCCCAGGTTCGATTCCGGTCAAGAGCATGTACCTTGGTTGCGGGCACATCCCCAATGGGGAGTGGGCAGGAGGCGGCTGATCGATGTTTCTCTCTCACTGATGTTTCTGGCTCTCTTTCCCTCTCCCTTCCTCTCTGTAAAAAATCAATGAAATATATTTTTTAAAAAGAAATGTACCGTCTCCTCTGGTCAGCTTTGTGCCCGGCGTCCCCGTTAACGCCCAGAGCCGACCCCGCTGTTCCGTCCGGCCTCCCTCTCCTGTGCACTGACTGCCGCTGGGGGAGGGACTCCATCCCAGAGCCCCGAGGGTGTGTTCATGTGTGACTCCCCGTGTTACCCCCGAGGCACCGAGACCAGCTGTCAGGGGACAGAAAGCGCGGGCGGAGTCGCCCCATGTTCTGTGTTTCTGATCTGGGAGCTCCCGTGTGTGTGCGGATTGAGGCCAACAGAGAAGGAGATGCTGGGGCCCCAGGCGGAGGGGAAGCCACATCGGAATTTACAGCGTCCTGGTGGGTCTCCTGCAGACAGCACAGACATGGTCATGTTCTGTTATCCATTCAGCCACCCGGTGTCTTTTGATTGGAGCTTTCAGTCATTTTCGTCCAAGGTTATTATTGCCTATGGTCTAGGCACTTGTAGCCATTTCTGGTTTTGTGCCTGTGTTCCTTCTCCTCTTTTTTTTTTTTTTTTTTTATGTATTTTACTGATTTTTTACAGAGAGGAAGGAAGAGGGACAGACAGTTAGAAACATTGATGAGAGAAAAACATCAATCAGCTGCCTCTTACACACCTCCCACTGGGGGTGTGCCCACAACCAAGGTGCATGCCCTTGACCGGAATCGACTGGGACCTTTCAGTCCACAGGCCGACGCTCTGTCCACTGAGCCACACCGGTTAGGGCTTATTTCTTCTTTTTACAACAGTCCTGCTGCCTTTCTGCTTGGCTGGCCGGTGGTGGCAAGCTCCCTTCGACTGCTTTTGTCTGTGAAGCATGAGTTGTAAATTGAACCAAATTAAGAACTTCCCCTCTCAGTACCAGAAAGATACAATGTGAAAGAGAAGAAACAATTTACAGACAAAACAGATGTTGGCAAGACATGTATGTGGCCAATGATTATGGTCCAGAATATATAAAGAACATGAAGGAATCAATAAGAAAGAGACAGACGAGCAAGTTCTAAAAATGAGCAATAAAAACATGAGCAAGCGTTTCCCAGAGAGGAAGCACAAACGGAATGAAAGGACTTCGGTGGCGAGAGGCTCGTTAGTCATCGAGGTGACGCAGAATCTGACCTAAGTCTGACGATGGCAGAGGGAGTGAGGGTGGGGTCAGGGGGCACAGGGGCTGCTGACGAGAGCAGGAACGAGAGCCGCTGCTTTGAAGAGCCACCTGTCGCTGCGATAACCCTTTCGTGGCTCGGAAATCCCCCCCCCCCCCCCCCCCCCCCCGCACACAGGTGACAGCTTCCGCCCAGGGATGCCTGGCTGGGCTGCGGGACTGTCTCTAAACGTTAGAATCCGGCCGACTGTCCAGGAGCGGGTCCCTTTGCCAGGAGAGCACCCGCCTTCCAGGCCGGAGCAGCTCCCTCCCCAGGCCCAGCCTGAAGCAGCGCGGACCAGGGTGCATCCTGCCCCAGGCGTGGGGGGCCGGGAGGAAGGCCGCTTGTCCTGTGGATCCCGAAGGCAGGCGAAGGGGCCGTTTCTTAGTTCCCCATAAGTTAGCGCAGCCCTAGCTCCGCGGTCGGCAAACCTCTGCTGGCGAGCCACAGGCGGCTCTGGGGCCCCTTGAGTGTGGCCCTTCCACAAAACACCACGGCCTGGGCGAGTCTATGTTGGCGAAGTGGCGTTAGAAGAAGTTTAAGTGTAAAACATGTGGCTCTCCAGAGAAATTTCAGTCGCTGTGCTGTTGATATCTGGCTCCGTGGACTGATGAGTTTGCCGACTGCTGGGCTAGTGCATCGGGTGGAAGTTCATATACCCCAAACCCAGAAATTCCGCTCACAGGGAGTTTCCCTCCTGCACACAACACACACGGAAGAGCATTCACAGTGACGCCGTTCATCATCGCAAATGCCTGGAAACGGCCCGCACCGCCTTCGGTAGAAAACCGATCGATAAATTATCGTTTATTTGCAAAACTGTGCACGCAGCCAAAACGAATGTCTTCCAGCTGCACACCACAGCACGAACGCGTCTCATAAATACACGTCTGAATCCTGAGAGCAGGTTCCCCAAGTCTCCACACGGCACAAACCCCTTTTCAGAAATCTCAGAAACAAACTGAACGAAATGAGACAGTACTGTAGAGTGTATGATGATACAATCAATGATTTTTGTTTTTTAAAAGGAAGGCTGAGCGCCAGCCTCCTGAGAGAGCTGGCTCGGGGTGGGTCGGGAATGTCGGCAGAAGAGCAGGGAGAGAAGCAGCACTCAGACGGATGCTCTGACCTTGACGTTGACCTGACACAGGGTCAGACCCTAAATGTTTTTGGTTTTTTCTTTGTGGGCCATTGAGTCCCTTGTCACAACTGTCACGTCTGCTATTGCCGTGCGAAGGTGCCGGACAGTCAGTAAATAATGAGAGTGGTTGTGTGTTCCAGTAAAACTTCAATCACAGCCCAGCCAATCTGGCTCAGTGGGTGGGCATTGACCTATGAACCAGGAGGTCACAGTTCGATTCCCGATCAGGGCACAGGCCCGGGTTGTGGCCTCGATCCTCAGTGAGGGGCCTGCAGGAGACAGCCAATCAATGAGTCTGTCATCACTGATGTTTCTATCTCTCTCCCTGTCCCTTCCTCTCTGAAATCAATAAAAATACATATTTTTTCAAAAACTTCATTTATACCGGTTTGGCTCAGTGGATAGAGTGTGGGCCTGCAGACGGGTGTGTGTGTGTGTGTCCCAGATTCGATTCCGGTCAGGGGCATGTACCTTGGTTGTGGGCACATCCCCAATGGGGAGTGTGCAGGAGGCAGCTGATCAGTGTTTCTCTCTCATCGATGTTTCTGACTCTCTGTCCCTCTCTCTTCCTCTCTGTATAAAATCAATAAAATATATTTAAAAATAAAATAAAATAAAAAAATAAAAACTTCAGTTACAGACTCAGAAATTTGAGTCTCATGTAACTTCCTTCTTCTTTTGATATTAAGAACCACGTGAAAACTCTTCCTGGCTCCTGAGCCACAGAGGCTGTGGGTCTCCGATTCAGCCAGGGGAGCGACCCCACCCCCACCCCCCCACCCCCACCCCCCGCCCAGCCCTCTGCGTGGGCCCCTGGGGCTTCGCTCTGTGACTGTGTTTTGTTTGTTAGTTTATGTGCATAAAGTGTTGCCTGTAACGCTTTTAAGAATAAAATGAAGTGTAAGCCCTGGCTCAGAGCGGGGAGGACAGAGGCAGGAGAGGGGAGGGGGAGGGACCACAGACCTGCAGGGACGTGCAATCTTCCCAAGACTCGTCCCAGCCTGGGCTCTGCCTTCCCTCCCCCCGCCCTGGCTGAGACCACCGTGCTGGGGACAGACCCGACATGTGACAATGCATCTATGGCTCATTGTCACATGTCCTGTCACACACAGCCCTGAGGGATATGAGCTGGACCATGTATCTACAGGATTGAATTTAAAACAATTCTCTTTGAATTAAAAAAACAAACAAATAAAAAAACAGCCCTAGCCTGTTTGGCTCAGTGGATAGAGCAGTGGCCCTGGTCAGGCCTTGTGCAGGGGGTAACCCATCGATGTGTTTCTCTCACATCGATGTTTCTCTCTCTCCCACGCTCTCTAAAGATCAATGGGAAATGGCCTCGGGTGAGGATTAACACACAACACGGAAACCTCACCCTCACCTGCCAATGCTAGCTGGAAGATGCCCTGAGCCACCAGCCCTGGCCGTCCTCGGAGGAAAGGGGTACAGTTTAAGGGACTTGTTGGGGGGAACCCGGGATTGTGTGGGTCCGCATTTTCAGTAGAGAAAGGTGCGACGGTGGGACCACTCCTGTTTCTCCTCTGTTTCTTCTCAGTCGCGTCCCAGCTGCTCCTGGGGTTTCTGCTCACAGCTGACCCTCCTCTCCTTCCTCCTCCTCGGGGAACCCGCAGCTGCAGCCATCCTCCTCCTGGGCTGTCCGCACCGGCTTCAGGAACGCTGGGGGAGGCACAGGCATGGGTGGTTGGTGGTCTGTCGGAATCATTCAACGTTCACCTCCTAGAGCTCATTCCCGCGGGACAAACTTCTCCAAGAGGCAGATGTTCTCCCCTTCAATTCGAAGCCGCCCGTCAGCAAGAGAGGTGATGCCCTGACCGGTGTGGCTCAGTGGATAGAGCGTCGGCCTGCGGACTGAAAGGTCCTGGGTTCGATTCCGGTCAAGGGCATGTACCTTGGTTGCAGGCACATCCCCAGTGGGGAGTGTGCAGGAGGCAGCTGATGGATGTTTCTCTCTCATCGATGTTTCTAATTCTCTATCCCTCTCCCTCCCTCTCTGTAAAAAATTAATAATTTTTTTAAATGGACACAAAGAGAGAGAGAGAGAGAGAGAGAGAGAGAGAGAGAGAGAGAGAGAGAGAGAGAGGATGATGACGACGAAGAAGACACGTGTGGCTGGTCTCAGGCGCGCTGAGTGAGAAAGGCTGTGTGTTCCTGATCCGTTTCTACATCGTGTGACTCTGTGTACGTAACATTCTCAGAGAGACACAAGTGTAGAGACAGGACACAGGTTCAAGGTGGCTGGGATTGGGGGGACGGGCAGGGGCAGGGGCAAGGTTGGCTGTGAAGGCCCAGCAGAGGTAGATCTTTGTGCTCAGGGAATACTGTGTATGTGTGTGTGTGTATGTGTGTGTGTGTGTGTGTGTGTGTGAGAGAGAGAGAGAGAGAGAGAGAGAGAGAGAGAGAAAATGTGTGTGAGTGTGTGTGTTTGTATGAGAGAGAGAGAGTGTGTGTGTGAGAGAGAGAGAGAAAGAGTGTGTGTTTGAGAGAGAGTGTGTGTGTGTGAGAGAGAGAATGTGTGTGAGTGTGTGTGCTTGTATGAAAAAGAGAGAAATGTGTGTGTGTGTATTTGTATGAGAAAGAGAGAATGTGTGTGTTGTCTGTGTGTGTGAGAGAGAGAGTGTGTGTGTGTGTGTGAGAGAGAGAGAGAGAATGTGTGTGAGTGTGTGTGTTTGTATGAAAAAGAGAGAGAATGTGTGTGTGTGTATTTGTATGAGAAAGAGAGAATGTGTGTGTGTGTGTGTGTTTAAATAGATATTTATTGATTTCAGTGAGGAAGGGAGAGGGAGAGAGTGAGAGAGAGAAAGAGAGAGGGAAAGAAACATCAATGATGAGAGAGAATCGTGGACTGGCTGCCTCCTGCACGCCCCACACTATGGATCAGAGGTCAACCCTCAGCCAGGGAGCCCCGCTGGCTGGGCCAGTCCTCTGTTTTGCTTGCACGGTGGCTATACCATCTACACCTGCGATAGGATGACACCCAACTACACACACGGCCCCGCCTGCGTGGCCCGGTTGGTGGGAGCATCATCCTGGACACCAATAGGTCGTGGGTTCGAATCCCGGTCAGGGCACCTAACTAGGCTGTGGTTCCTTCAGTGGCCGGGGCATGTATGGGAGGCAACTGATTGACGTTTCCCTCTCACGTCCATGTTTCCCTCTCTCCCTCCCTTTCTCTCTCTCTCTCAGGAGTCAATAAAAACATATCCTCAGGCGAGGCTTAAACACACACACACAAACAACAAATATCCACACACACTGCCCCTCGGTCCTTGCTCGGCCCGACCTCGCACTATCGATACATCGAACTCGACCCTGGCCCCCCCCCCCCACGGTTCACAGCTTCCTGTGAACCCACAGCTATTTTAAAATAGAATGTTTCTAAAAATAACCTAAAGCTTTCAAAAACCGGAATGCGGTTCCATTGCAGCTCGCTCGTCACTCACACACACACATGCGTGCACACACACACACACACACACACACACACCTCTGAAAGCTGCCATGGAAAGGTTCGTTCTCGCTATGAGCTGTCAGTGAGAGCCAGAGCTGTCAGTCAGAGGCCCGGCCTCAGAAAGGGAAGCCGGAGCCAACCACGGGGGAGGAGGTGCCCGCAGCGCCCACGCAGCCCACCCGAGGGTGCCCACACGGCCAGGAGACGAGGATGGGGTGTCCTCCCCCCCCCAACAGAAAGGTGCTCAGACTCCGTGGGTTTCTGGGCAGAGAGAAGGAAATCCCAGGGGCCATCATAACGTGAAAACAGTCCCATCTCACTGAAGTCAGGGAAATGCAGATTAGACGGCAGTGACATCTGCCCGCCCACCGGAGGGAGACATGGAGGCCAAGGTTAGCAGGACTGGGGGCCCCGGAGCTCTCCTGGCCACCGGGCGGTGTGGGGGTCCCCCGCCGGCTAGAAGGCAGCTGGGGTGTCTTCAAAGGACCCAGCCGTTATCTTTCTGGATTAAAACAACCAGAAGCACGTGCTGTGTGCGCGGAGATGAATGGACAGAAACACGGGAACACCGCGGTCTGAAACAGCCCCAGCTGGACAAGCCCAAGGGCCCGTCCACATGTGAAGGACAGATGCATGGTGAGGCGGCCGCTGGCTCAGCAGAAGCGTTTCCAGCCACAGAAACCAACGGACCCTGGGGTCCACAGAGCCAAATAGCAGCAGGACAACGGCTGACATTTCTTTGGAGAGCCCGATTTTTTAAACGTAAACGTCTTCTAACGCCACTTCTTCGCAATAGACTCGCCCAGGCTGGGGTCTCTTGTGGAAGAGCCGCCCTCCAGGGGCCAAAGAGCTGCAGGTGGCTCGCGAACCGCAGTCTGCCGACCCCGGCTCTGGACGGGTGGGAATGCTGCCAGGCTGCAGCAGAGAAGGCAGACCCTGAGCAGACACAGAGAAGGCAGAGCAGACACAGCCACTTGCTCGGGGCTGAAGCTGTTGTTCGTAGCAAAGCTATAAATGCGAGCGAGGAAGTGGTGGGGCGGAGGCCTTGTCTGGAGGGACGGCAGGGCTGGGGGCGGGGCTTAGTGACCCTGTGTCCCTCTGGACCGGTGCTGGGTGACAGGCGTCCACCCCACAGCCGCCCGTTAGGCTGTGTCCCTGAGCCTCAGTGCGCGGTGGAGAGCATTCTGTGTGGCTTCCAAGTGCCCGTCAGACAGTCAGGGCAGCGCGTGCTTAGGGAAGACTGCGGATCCTGTCCCCCAGCTCTGCTGCTCCTGTCCCCCCCACCCCTGGGACCGTCTGGGTCACAGCGCCGCTCCCTCGGCCCACGCCCCCCTCGGCCGAATCCCTCCTGCCAACCTCGCCTGCGTCTCTGGTTCCTTCCTCTGTGGAGACAAAACCCAGGCCCGTCTATAAACCTGGAGAACATGTCCATCCATGTTCTGTAATTGGTTTGAGAGAGAGAGGAGGGGAGAGGGAGGGGGGAGGGACATCGATCGGCTGCCTCCTGGGGCCTGAGCCTGAAACCTGGGCGTGTGCCCTGACCGGGAATCCAGTCAGAGGCCTCGTGGTCCCTGGGACGATGCTCCACCCACTGAGCCACCCTAGCCGAGCTGTAACTTCTCTGAGTAAAGACTAAGAGGTTTCGCTGCCACGCTCCATACACAAATAGCATCCTGGCCCAGTGCAGAGGCGTTCCTCACCTCACCCATACTGCTGGCGTCTGAGCCCAGGCCCGTCACCCGCCCTAACCCCGCAAGGCCTGCGCCTCCTGCCTGCGGGGACCAGCCGAGGAGCAGGGCCGAGGGGGCGAAGGTGACTTTCTGATTCCTGTTGATCGGTGTCCTGTGTGCACAGCTGGCTGGCCGCAAACATGTGCGCGCACGCACACACACACACATACACACGCACATGCACATACTTACACTGTCGCCTTTCTAGAACCCTGGACTCTGCTGCCATTGCCCACTCTCTCCCACTCTGCCCTGTGGACATCTGGGCTGGGGAGCTCTGAGCTTGGGGCCCTGCCTGAGCGTAGTAGGGCGTTTAGCACCCTCCCTGACCACCCACTGGGTGCCAGCATATCACACCCGCCCCCACCCCCACCCCTACCCCCACCCTCAACCCCATCCCCACCCCCACCCCTACCCCCACCCTCAACCCCATCCCCACCTCCACCCCTACCCCGCCCCCACCCCCGCCCCTACCCCCACCCTCAACCCCATCCCCACCTCCACCCCTACCCCGCCCCCACCCCCACCCTCAACCCCATCCCCACCTCCACCCTTACCCCACCCCCACCCCTACCCCCACCCTCAACCCCATCCCCACCTCCACCCCTACCCCGCCCCCACCCCCGCCCCCACTCCCACACCCACCCCCAGGTGGTGAAGCCCCCATCCCCTTGGGGGCAGCGCTGCCTGCGCTGACACCCCGGGCTGTTGTGACCCCGTTTCCAGAACGTAGCCCCCTCTCCCTCCTCCCTCCTCCCTCCTCCCTCCTCCCTCCTCCCTCCTCCCTCCTCCCGGGAAAGCCCGCCCGGGCCCGGGCTCGGCTGAGCCGTGTGCTTACGCTGCTTGAGGAGGGACAGGAGCTTCCGCCGGCCCTGCTCGGCCTCCGAGAACCGCAGCACCAGCAGCAGCACCAGGGCCAGCGCGGCGGCCCCGGCCAGCGCCAGCAGGAAGATGCTGAGGGGCGGCCGGGGCCCTGGGCCAAGGAGAGAGCATGCACATGAGTTTACTTACGTTCATGGTCCCATCAGCAAAGCCCTCGTCCTCGGGCATCCACCCAGCTAACTTGGTAAACCTGCCCGCGTGTTAAGAAAAGAAAACTTTTCTTAAACCCCTTGCCCGGCTGGTGTGGGTCAGTGGTTAAACGTCAGCCTGTGAACCAGGAGGTCAGGGCGCAGGCCCGGGTTGCAGGCTCCATCCCAGTGGGGGTGTGCAGGCAGCAGCCGGGCCACGATTCTCTCTCATCGTTGACGATCCGCTCTCTCTGCTCGCTCAGTGCCGGACAGGCCCCGAGGCCAGCGGAGGGAGATGCTGGTGCCGTGAGGGCAGAGCCGGGGCCCATGAGGGGTCGGGTCCCAGCGGGCACGGCCACCCCCAGCCACACGGACCCGAGGGCGACACCCAGCTACCTGGCTCTGGCGCTGGCTCGGGGGTGGGCGCGGGGGCGGAGGGGGCCCCGGGGGAGACGCCCGCCGGGCGCGGCCCGCACACCGCGTCCCTCTCCTTCGTCCCGTTCACCAGCACGGCCTTCCCGTCCCGGGCGCAGCTGGAAAGGGTTCGAGTCAGTGATGCAGGTCCAGAGGGTGCCAAGGAGACACACTGCCGTCCCCGCCCCACGAGGCAGCCTGGTCACACCCACGTGAGAGCCTGGGCTCCTGAAGACTTTTTAAAAATATTTTTTTATTGATCAGAGAGAGAGGGAGAAAGGGAGAGAAAGAGACATAGATCTGAGAATGAACCATCCATTGGCTGCCTTCTCAGTGCCCCCTAAGGGACATTGAGCCCACAACCCAGGCCTTTGCCCGGACCAGGAGTCAAACCTGTGGCCTTTACACACACACACACACACACACACACACACACACACACACACACGATGATGCCCAACCCACTGAGCCACACTGGTCAGGCCACGCTGGTGTTAGAGGGGAGCACGCAGCTCTGACGGGAGGCTCAGCATCATTTCCAGGGAAAATGCCCACTTTGCTGAGCCAGGCACTACCCCGTACTGTCCCCACCCTGCCTGGGGGGCAGCAGGCTGTGTCTATTCCCGATAGATTTCAAAAAGCCTCGCTGAGTCTGGCCGGTGTGGCCCAGGGGTTGATGTCACCCTATGAGCCAGGAGGTCACGGTTGGATTCCTAGCCAGGGCGCCTGCCGGGTTACGGCTCCCTCCCCAGCAGGGGGCGTGCAGGAGGCAGCCGATCGATGTCTCACCCATGTTTCTCTCTCTGGCTCCCTTCCTCGCTCTCCAAAACCAATAAAAACATTTTTCCTTAAAGCTCCCGCGATAGCATTGCTTGTCTGTAAGGGAATTAGTCCGGCTCCCGCGGTGTGGCAAAGGGAAGTGACACGTACTCCGTCCACGGTCGGCAGGTGCCCAGTTTCTGGTCGTTGAATGTCCCCGGGTCACAGTCTCTGCAGCCTGGCGGGGAAATTTCAAAAAGCCATCGTCAGAAAGGGCAGCCGCACTTCCATAGCAACGCCCTGACCGCGACCGTAAGCCGACCTGCACAGACTGTTTGGGGAGTCTGGAAACCAGCCCTGAGATGCAGCGGGTGTGCAGTGCTCGGTCCCGGGAAGGAACAGAGGTGCTTACTCAGCCTGGGAGCCCGTGCACGAATCCGTGCACCGTGCCTCGCTGCCCGCCCCCCCAGCTCTCGGCCGCTGCCCCGCCCTCCCTCCGCCCCCTTCTTAGCTTGCTGCCCTGCCCTCCTGGAGCTCTCTGCCGCCCGCTTGCAGCTCTCCGCCCCACCTCCTGCTGACCCGTGACCGGTCGTTACGTGGTCAGTTGGTAGTTATGCTTCCTGGTGTAACAGCCATTTGCATATTCCCTCTTTACTAGATGGGACAGTGTCCTGTATGCTATTAGCTTGTGACATTGCCGCAATGCGTCTGTGCTAAGGACACACACACACACTCTCACACATACATACACAGAAAGACACAAACACACACTCACACACACACACACACTCTCTCACACACACACACAGTCACACGCACACAGACACACACACATACACACACAATCACAGACACAGACACAAACACACACTCACACATACACACACTCTCTCACACACGCACACAGACACACACACACATACACACACAGTCACAGACACAGACACAAACACACACTCTCTCACACATACACACACACTCATACACACTCTCACACACACACATGCACACACACACAGACACACACACTCACACACACACACAGACACACACACAGTCACATACACTCTCACACACACACACTCACACATACACATACAGAGTCACACACACACACACACACACTCTCACACACACACAGTCACACATACACAGACACATACATAGAGTCACACACACACACTCTCACACACACACAGTCACACACACACACACACACACACTCTCACACACACACAGTCACACATACACAGACACTCTCACACACACACATGCACACACTCACACACACACATGCACACACTCACACACACAGACACACACACAGTCACATACACTCTCACACACACACACACAGTCACACACACACACACAATCTCACACACACACAGTCACACATACACAGACACACACACACACACACACTCTCACACACACACAGTCACACATACACAGACACATACATAGAGTCACACACACACACTCTCACACACACACAGTCACACACACACACACACACACTCTCACACACACACAGTCACACATACACAGACACTCTCACACACACATGCACACACTCACACACACACATGCACACACACACACAGACACACACACAGTCACATACACTCTCACACACACACACTCACACATACACATACAGAGTCACACACACACACACACTCTCACACACACACAGTCACACATACACAGACACATACATAGAGTCACACACACACTCTCACACACACACAGTCACACACACACACACACACACACTCTCACACACACACACATACACATACAGAGTCACACACACACACTCTCACACACACACAGTCACACAGACACAGACACACACATCCACACGACGCGGTGCCCGGAGGCCGAGCCGCACACCCACCGTGGGCCGCCGGCTCCCGGCCGGGCCCGCAGTCCGGCTCGCACTGGGCGCACCCGGGCCCGCGGCAGCGGAGCCCCGGCCCGCACTCGCACTCGGCGTCGCTGGTGGGGGAGCACGGCCTCTTCGTCCTGAAAACACCTGCAGCCCCGGTACGTCAGGTGGCCCCGTCCGGGGCAGTGCGCGCTGCGGGAGACCCGGCCCCTCTACCCGGCGGCCCAAACGCCGGCCGGTGCGGCTCAGCGGGCAGAGCAGCGTGCAGACCGGAGGGTCCCGGGTTCGGTTCCCGTCAAGAGCACACGCCTGGGTTTGGGCTCAGTCCCTGATGGGAAGCGTGCAGGAGGCAGTGATCAACGATTTTCTCTCACCGTTGATATCTGTCTCTCTCTCTCTCTCTCTCTCTCTCTCTCCCTCCCTCCCTCCCTCCCTCCCTCCCTCCCTCCCTCTCTCCCTCCCGCTCCTTTCCTCTCTGAAGTCAGTCAATATATAGTTTTTAAATCTTTTTTAAAATGTTCCCAACGGCCTTAGGATAAAGTGTGCTTCCGAGTCCCAATAGGAGACACGTTTGCATTTCGCTGATGGAAATGTTCTCTCTTGTCAAACGACTGATTCCTCTGGCACTCAGGAGGCTCAGATCCACACACAGTGACCTCTTTTCCCGGGGCGGCCTACGGACAGCGGACCCGCCCTCGGACCCCACCCCTCGGGAGCCGTCCCCTCGGGAACACATTGGGGGGCCTACCTTCGCAGCGCCGGCACGGCTGGCAGGCCTCCTGCCCGGGGGAGCGGGAGAAGCTGTGGGGGGGGCAGGGGGCGCAGGCCGGGCTCCTGCTTTTCCCGCAGAAGGTACCTGGCGGCAGAGCACAGGGGGCGTTTGGCGACGGTGACCGCGGCCGGACGCGTGTGATTTCACAGGAAACGAGGGCCTGAGACGGCGGTCGTTCCCCTGCTGCCATGGGGAGAGGCTTTCCTCTGCTGGCGGACTTCCTAGAAGTACACCTGTGGGCCCTGGCCGGTGTGGCTCAGCGGATAGAGCGTCCGCCTGTGGACTGAAGGGTCCTGGGTTCCATTCGGTCCAGGGCACATGCCTGGGTTGTGGGCTCGATCCCCAGTAGGGGGCGTGCAGGAGGCAGCTGATCAGTGGTTCTCTCTCATCATTGGTGTTTCTATCTCTCCCTCTCCCCCCCCCCCCCCGACATCAATACAAATATGGTGGCTTTTTTTTTTTTTTTTAAGTGTACATGTGGGCCCTGGCCCGCTGGCTCCCGCCGGCTGGTGGGAGTGTCAGCCCATACAGGAGAGGGTACAGGCTCCACAGATGTTTTTCTCCCGCCTCCCCCCACGCTTCCTTTCCTCTAAAAAATATCCTCTAGTGAGGGTCAAAAGGACATTTTTAAAGTATAAATTTGCAAGTTCGCCCTCAGCAATGTCACAGAAAAAAGAATAACAAAGTGCAGGCATTGCAACAAATAAGTCAACAACAGCAACAAAAAAAGTTTCCTTTGTCTATTGAGTAAAACAGAATGATTTCTCTTAATCAATCCAGGAGATCAATAGGATGGGATTCAGGGGGAGATCAACACCCTTCATTAATACCTGTGCCTGCCTCCCCCCACTCTGCCCACACACACACACACACACACACACACGCCCACGCACACACACACATACACACACACCCTCCGCCCCGCCGCCTCCTTGCTCCCTGTGTGTCCGCAGTTGGAGCCCAGGGCCTCACACACACACACACACACACACACACACAAACACACACCCGGCTGCCGTTCCCGAGGGTCCTCCCAGCACCCCTCTGAGCCAGGTCCCCGTTACCCCCGGTGAGAGGCTGGGCCAGTGGCATGGCTCGGTTCTGCACCTCAGAAGCACTTGCGTGTGAACGAGTACAAGGTCATCCACGCAGAGCACCTGGCCCCGCCCACGTGCCACCCGCCACGTCTCACTCAGCCGCCCGCGTGGTGACGGGTCCTCACCCGCCGGGCAGTCCGGGCAGGAGCCCTGCCCCGGCCGCACCCTCTCGACGCTCAGCACCAGCAGCAGCCCCGCCACCAGGGCATAGCGCCCGCGGCCCATGACGGTCTTGGCCTTGGTCTCGGCCTGGGTCTCGCCCGGAGACGATGCAGCAGAGCAGACGGTCCCAAATGTGCCCTGCAGAGGGGAGACGGGGGCAGGGATGGGCGGCGTCTCCTTCTCCCGCACCCGGTCCGGCCCCCACCAACTCCGCCGGGACCGGAGGTGTCAGGGACAGTCACACCGAGAGGCCCTGCGCCCGGAGGGACAGTCACAGGAGAGGGGGCCCTTCGCCCGGAGGGACAGTCACACAGGAGAGGGGCCCTGCACCCGGAGGGACAGTCACACCATGAGGGGGCCCTTCGCCCGGAGGGACAGTCACAGGAGAGGGGCCCTTCGCCTGGAGGGACAGTCACACCGAGAGGGGCCCTTCACCCAGAGGGACAGTCACACCGAGAGGGGGCCCTTCGCCCGGAGGGACAGTCACAGGAGAGGGGCCCTTCGCCCGGAGGGACAGTCACAGGAGAGGGGCCCTTCGCCCGGAGGGACAGTCACACCGAGAGGGGGCCCTTCGCCCGGAGGGACAGTCACAGGAGAGGGGCCCTTCGCCCGGAGGGACAGTCACAGGAGAGGGGCCCTTCGCCCGGAGGGACAGTCACAGGAGAGGGGCCCTTCGCCCGGAGGGACAGTCACAGGAGAGGGGCCCTTCGCCCGGAGGGACAGTCACACAGGAGAGGGGGCCCTTCGCCCGGAGGGACAGTCACAGGAGAGGGGCCCTTCGCCCGGAGGGACAGTCACACAGGAGAGAGGCCCTTCGCCCGGAGGAACAGTCACAGGAGAGGGGCCCTTCGCCCGGAGAGACAGTCACAGGAGAGGGGCCCTTCGCCCGGAGGGACAGTCACACCATGAGGGGGCCCTTCGCCCAGAGGGACAGTCACAGGAGAGGGGGCCCTTCACCCGGAGGGACAGTCACAGGAGAGGGGGCCCTTCGCCCGGAGGGACAGTCACAGGAGAGGGGCCCTTCGCCCGGAGGGACAGTCACACAGGAGAGGGGGCCCTTCGCCCAGAGGGACAGTCACAGGAGAGGGGCCCTTCGCCCGGAGGGACAGTCACAGGAGAGGGGCCCTGCGCCCGGAGGGACAGTCACAGGAGAGGGGCCCTTCGCCCGGAGGGACAGTCACAGGAGAGGGAGCCCTGCGCCCGGAGGGACAGTCACAGGAGAGGGGCCCTTCGCCCGGAGGGACAGTCACAGGAGAGGGGCCCTTCGCCCGGAGGGACAGTCACAGGAGAGGGGCCCTTCGCCCGGAGGGACAGTCACAGGAGAGGGGCCCTTCGCCCGGAGGGACAGTCACAGGAGAGGGAGCCCTGTGCCCGGAGGGACAGTCACAGGAGAGGGGGCCCTGTGCCCGGAGGGACAGTCATAGGAGAGGGGGCCCTGTGCCCGGAGGGACAGTCACAGGAGAGGGGGCCCTTCACCCGGAGGGACAGTCACAGGAGAGGGGCCCTGCGCCCGGAGGGACAGTCACATAGGAGAGGGGCCCTGCGCCCGGAGGGACAGTCACAGGAGAGGGGCCCTTCGCCCAGAGGGACAGTCACAGGAGAGGGGCCCTTCGCCCGGAGGGACAGTCACACAGGAGAGGGGCCCTGTGCCCGGAGGGACAGTCACATAGGAGAGGGGCCCTTCGCCTGGAGGGACAGTCACAGGAGAGGGGCCCTTCGCCCGGAGGGACAGTCACAGGAGAGGGGGCCCTTCGCCCGGAGGTGTCGGGGACAGTCCATCAGGAGAGGGAGCCATTCCCAGGGACGTCCCTGTGGGGACCAGCTCCCTGCACACATGTCTGCCGTGCCTGCTCCCTGGGCCGGAGGGGCGCTGCCCGGCACGATTTGCCAGAACACAGAAGTCACCACAGCAGAACTTTTGGGGACTTTCTTGGCTGCTTAGCACTGGCATCCAGATGTCCACATGCCGGCTGCCGGCTGCCCCTCGGGGCTGAGACTGTGGGGAGGGGACACCTCCCTATCGGCTCCAGGAGAAGACACCCCGTCTTCCCCTGTGCGTCCACAGCCGGGCAATGCCAACCACCTCATCCTCACATCGAAACTTCTCAGCTGTCCTAGCGGTGTGGCTCAGCGGTAGAGCGTCGGCCTGCGGACTGAAGGGTCTCAGGTTCCATTCCGGCCAAGGGCATGCACCTTGGTTGTGGGCACATCCCCAGTATGGGGGGTGTGTGTGCAGGAGGCAGCTGAATCGTTGTTTCTCTCTCATCGATGTTTCTGACTCTCTATCCCCCTCCCTTCCTCTCTGTAAAAAAAAATCAATAAAATATATATATATTTAAGAAAAACACTTTTAAAATGTTCCGTTACATGTGACATTCACCATTCTGTCGGTTTCAGGTGACACCACAGTGGTCAGACATTCATGTCACTCACAAAGGCCCCCCCGGTGGGCTCGGTACCCACCCACCCAGCACCACACATCGTTATCACAAAAGCACTGGCTATCCTCCCTATGCTGTGCCCATTTTCTTAGCAGATGTATCTGCTCCTTTTGAGATTTGAAGCTCATAGAGTCACAAATCTATGGAGGACACAGGAAAAAAAAATCTCTTTTGCGATGTGTATTTGATCTCTATTTCGTAGCGAGGGGAGAGAGGATGTTAGCAATTAGAACGGGGAAACGTGTAGAAATGCCACAAAGTCAACAAAGCCTCCCTCCATCCTCACCCCGGCCGGACCCCTGTCCGCCCCGGACCACCAACCTGGAGACGGCGCTGCGGAGGAGCTGTCCGGACTGTCTCTGGAGCAGCGAGAGCTCTGATCTGAGAGGAGAAAGCCTGACAGGTTAGACACCCAGGGGCGCCGGGTGACTCAGCGGGGGCGGGGCCTCTGGGAAATCCCCGCCAGCCCTGTGGGGAGCCCGCTGGGTGTCTGCTGACCCCAAACCCCTCAGCCGATGGCATTTCAGACCTTCTTGGAAGCACTCTCTGCAGTTGGGTATGTTCAAGGTGACTTTGGTGAAGAGACTTTGTCCCTTTCTGTAACTCTTTGAGAGGAGAGGGGTGACACCGGCCTCAGAGGGAGGGCCAGCCCGTGTGCACTGCGCTGCCCCCTGGCTCTCGTCGCTGATGGAGCCACAGTGTATCCAGGGCTGATGGAGCCGGAAGCCCTGTCCTTGCAGGAATCTTCCTGCGCCAGGCCTCTAGTCTCATATAAACGCCATCGCACAGGATGTGTTCTCAGTCCATCCGCACCCTCTCCTGGACCACTCCTCCTCGGACGAGTCACCATCCACGGCCTGGCTGCACCACACTCTGCCCCGCTGGGCTGAGGGCCGTCTGAGCTGCTGCCACTTCTCGACTCCTGCTCGCAATGTCGCGGTGGACACCTGTGCGCAGGTGTTTGTGTGGACATGTGTTTCCGGTTCTCTCTTAAAAAAAGTGTTGTGTTAATCCTCACTCCAGGGTATTTTCCCATTGGTTTTTTGGGGGGAGGGGGCGCAGGGGAGAGACAGACAGAGAGAAGCATGTCCTGCAATCGAGACCCGTGCCCTCGGCCCGAATCCCACCAGAGCCTTCAGCCCTCGGCCAGGGCTGGTCCCGCTCTCTGAGTGTGTGCGGGGCGTGGAGGCGGGCACCACCCGGATTTTACTTCACTTTTGGGGAAACTGCCAGGCTGTCCTCCACAGTCGCTGCACCTTTTACATTCCCACCGGCGACGCATGAGGGTTTCAAAGTCTCCATGTCCTCGCTGCCACGTGTTATTCATTTTAATGAAAATAAAGGTATCGCCCGGCCGGCGGGCCTCAGTGGTGGAGCGTCGACCTATGAAGCAGGAGGTCACGGCTCCCAGGTCAGGGCACACGCCTGGCTGTGGGCTCGATCCCCAGTGTGGGACCTGCAGACGGCAGCTGATCCATAATTCTCTCTCATCATAGTTGTTTCTATCTCCCTCTGCCTTCCTCTCTTGGATCAATAAAAAATATACTTTAGAAAAGGAATTGAGCCGAAACCGGTTTGGCTCAGTGGTAGAGTGTTGGTCTGCGGTCCAAAAGGTCCCAGGTTCGATTCCGGTCAAGGGCATGTACATTGGTTGCGGGCACATCCCCGGTGGGGGTTGTGCAAGAGGCAGCTGATCGATGTTTCTCTCTCATCGACGTTCCTAGCTCTCTATCTCTCCCCCTTCCTCTCTGTAAAAAGTCAATAAAATATATTAAAAAAAAAAAAAAAAAAGGAATTGATCACACCATTTTAGCAGGTGTAAAGTGCTGTCTCATGTGGGTTTGGTCTGCTGCCTTTACCCCAATTTTACCACCCGCCCCCTATGCCTTGGGGGCAGCAGGGGGTGCCTGTGGGGAATGCCCACGTTCCCTGTCGGCTGACGGATGGCATCGAGGCTCAGGACACGGGTGGTCATGTGACCTCACGCAGGTCTCTTAACGCCCTCAGTCTCCGTCCTTCGAACCCCCTTTACAGACAGCTCTCCCTCCTCCCCGAGCGAGGAGCGAAGGAGACAGCGAAGCCAGGCCCTGAGCTGGCGCCCGGCCCGTGGTCGTTCGGAGCCGGAGGCTCTGAGACGCCCTTCCCGCCGCTCAGACCGGCAGCGGGGACTCCGCCCACAGCGGGTGGCAGAGGAGGAAACACTGCCCGGCTCCTCCAGAGCGGCCCCACCCCGCACCCCGGCCTCCGCTGACCCCCTGCAGCCGGGCACGCTCCGAGCGAGCGGCCGCCCCGCGGGCAGGCGGTGTCTGTGTGTGACCCCGTGTGACATCGCCCTGCCGCCCACGGAGCTCAGGGCTGCTCCTCACCGCCTGGTGCGGCTCCTCTGTGGGCGGAGCTGTCGCCGCCCCTGAGAATGACACGCAGTTTCCCAGCACAGTCATCAGCTCTCGGGGCGAGCTGGTGGGCTGCAGCCCTCCCTGAGCGGAGACCCTCCAGACACCTCACACCAGCCACAGGCACCCTCAAGCCCTCCCTGAGCGGAGACCCTCCAGACACCTCGCCAGCCACAGACTCCGCTCCACTCAGACGCGCTGCTGAAGGCCCAGCTCCCCACTGTTTGCAGGGGGCGATGCGGCTCTTATTGGATGAGATGGTCGGGGCGAAGGCACTTGCTCTCTGACCAGCCACAGGGTCCTCTTGGCACACATTTCCTTTGCTCTGAGGCGGCAAACATGTCATCTTGTCCACGCAGGCTCCCCAGGCTACATCAGCGACGACCCCAAGTGAACATCAACAGTTTAGCAAGTTTAGTGATAATATGTCTCATCGCCTTCTAAATCTTCAGCCATGGAATGGATTTTGTTTTATTTTCATTGACTACTAGAGGCTCAGTGCATGAAAATTCATGCTCGTGCAGGAAGCAGCCAATCCATATGTTTCTCTCACATCCATGTTTCTCTCTGTCTTTCCCTCTCTCTTCCACTCCCTAAATATCAATGGGAAAATATCCTCGGGTGAGGATTAAAAAAACAAAAACAAAAAACTATTGTTATGCCCTCGTTGGTTTGGCTCAGTGGAAAGAGCATCAGCCTGTGAACTGAAGGGGTTCGGTTCCGGTCAAGGGCGTGCACCTTGGTTGTAGGCTCGATCCCGGCCCTGGACAGGGTGTGTGTGAAGGCTGCCAGTCGATGGTCTTTCTCACATCAATGCTCCTCTCTCTCTCCCTCCTACTCTCTGTAAAAATCAATGGAAACATATCTTCAGGTGAGGATTAAAAAACATAATAATAATTTTAAAAGAACTATTGTGACTCTTCTAACGTGAAAGAAACAGAGCTGAGCGAGCTGGAGTAACCGAGCCAGTGTCGGGGCAGCAGTGGGGCGCTCCCCCTGGGCCAGGCGCTGGCTTCAGCTCCAGGAGCCCCCTCGCCTGATGGTACCCCGCCGGCCAGCCCTGTCTTCAAGGCCCTGGATGAAGTAAGACAACACCAGGACATGCATTAGTTTCCTTGTGAGCTTTTCAGTGGTCGTCAGTTTACCCACCAGATCATCCTACTCCTGTGCCAGCCATCTCTTCCTCCGTGAGATCCACCTCCTCCTCCGGATTTACATGCCGATGGGATATCACTGCCTGAACCACTGGTTTTCATTCAGATTTCTCCCAGGTCAAGGTTGCCACACTAAACCAGAGCTCCCACGTACGTGTGTATAGTTCTGAAGAGTTTACACGTGTCTCCTGGGCCTATATGATCTCCACGTTCCGTGTTACTATCCTCACAGGTGGCTGTCCAGGGTCACAGCCAGCAAGGGGCAGAGCTGGGCTTGAACCCAGACAGGCCGGCCTCGGCGGGCGCACACACTCACTCCGCCCCGTGTGAGGGAAGGAGAAGCCGGGGATGCAGCCCAGACTCATCCTCCCGCTCCCTCCCGGCTCCCGTGACCTTGGCCCAGGCGATCTGACTGACTCAGAGGCTCTGCATCGGGCCTGCTCACTCCTGTGAATGAATCAAAAGAAGCGTTGACTCAGCGCCACGAGACCGTCAGCTCGGTGGTTTGAGAGCCGCCCCGGAAACCACATTGATCTCATCGACGCGAATGAGTGCCCAGAAGCTGATCGCTCATCCGCTTCAAGACACGTTATCAGGAGCAGGATCAATGGCCCGAAGTAGCCGCCTTTGGAGGGAGCCAGACTAACTGCAAAATAAAAATAAAAAACCGGAGCATGGACGTAAACAAGTGTTCTGTATTTTTTAAGAGGGAGAGGAGGAGAGAGGAAGAGAGAGAAACATGGATCGGTTGTCTCCCACTCTCACCCCAATCGAAGATCAAACCCACAACCTGAGCATGTTCCCTGACATACCCAGGAGTCAAGCCCGCCACCTGTTGGTTCATGGGGTGACGCTCCAACCCACTGTGCCACACCAGCCGGGGCTGCATCCTTAATTCCGCTGGGGAGAGTGTGGTCGCATCCACCGAGGGGAGCGTGTGCTTCGGGCCGCACTGTGCACAGAGCAGTTCCGCTCCAATGAATGCCATTGCTGCATCTGGTGACTGCGCCCAAGGCCGGCCCTGCCTGCTGGTGCCATGCCGGCTCCCGGCCCCCAGCAGTGACATAGCCCTCAGGAAGGAAATTATAAATATGGAAATCTCTCCAATTGTTCCATAAGCTCCCCTCTTGTCAACTAGCAGTCAAATATATCCCCCCACCCCCCAAAAGAGGCAAGACAGCGTCAAGACATGCGTTTTGTTTCCCTGTGAGCCTTTCAGAGGTCGTCAGTTTAAACACCAGACCATCCCACTCCTGTGCCAGCCACCTCTTCCTCCGTGAGATCTGCTTCCTCCTCAGGGTTTACATGCCGATGGGAAATCACTGCCTGACCCACTGGTTTTCATTCAGATTTCTTTCAGCCCTAACTAGTTTGGCTCAGTGGATAGAGCGTCAGCCTGTGGACTGAAAGGTCCCAGGTTCGATTCCGGTCAAGGGCATGTACCTTGGTTGCAGTCACATCCCCAGTAGGGGGTGTGCAGGAGGCAGCTGATCCATGTTTCTCTCTCATCGATGTTTCTAACTCTCTATCCCTCTCCCTTCTTCTCTGTAAAAAAAATCAATATATTTAAAAAAATATTTCTTTCAGTTAAATGTTGCCACACTAAAGAGTTCCCACGTACATGTGTATAGTTCTGAATATTTTATACATGCCTCCTGGGTCTATATAATTTCCAAGTTCCATGGTTACTATCATCATGCTCTAGCCCTCATCAAGTTAACAAGCTCAATTTAACACAAATTTACTGAAGATCGAACACAAGTGTACATGATCTGACCCACCTACTTCTGCTCTGAGTCCTGCCACCGCCTCCAGGCTGTCTCCCTTGCTTGCTGTTCTTTTTTTTTTTAAAGATATATCTTATGGATTTTATGAAGAGAGAAAGGGAGAGGAAAAGAGAGATACAAATATTAATGATGATAAAATTTAAAAAAATTAAAAAAATATTAATGATGAGAGAGAATTATTGATCGGCTGCCTCCTTCCTGCACACCCGCAGCTGGGGATGGAGCCCGCAACCTGGGCCTGTGCCCTGCCCGGGAATGGAACCCCGACCTCCTGGTTCCGAGGTCGATGCTCAACCACTGAGCCACACAGGCTGGGCCCTGGCTTGCTGTTCTTTAAGGCGCCACAGGCCCTCCTGCTCCCTGTGCTGTTCCCTCCTCTGAAATGCTCTCCCTCCCACGTTCTCTGGGACCTGCTCCCTCCTCCTCCTCAGGTTTCCTCCCCAGAAAAAGCCTTCCTGGGCCGCTCTCTGAAAGAACAGCCCTTCCCATTCTCCATCTGCTCTCTCCCCTTTATGCTCCTCCATCAAGCACGTCACCCCAGCACATGTGGCTCTCAGTGCGTTGGTTCATGTTTTTGCAGTGAGAAGTCAGATAGACAAGAGCAGAGCGAGGAGGATGGGCCAGGGCAGAAGGTCACAGGCGGAAAGCCCCGGGTGCCTAGCAACAAGGGGCAAAACTGGGAAACAAGGACCAGCCCCCAGGTGAGCGTCCCTCCCCTGGATGTGGGGTCCTGCGGGTCAGACCCCCCCTGGCCTTTCCCGCCGGTGCTGCTGGTCGTGAGGGTGAGGCCCTTGGAGGGGAACACCAAATTGTGTGTCAGCACCTGTGCGCAGTTGTGTTTCAGCTCCGGGCCCAGACAAGCAGCAGCACCTGACAACAATGCCATGGCGGCCTGGGGACCAGCTGCGCGGACTGATGACCCTTGGAATCCCCCCTGAGACCTCAGGTAAGCATCGACTTTCTCTGTGGAGCACGCCCACCTGCCCTCCCCAGGGCCCATCGTGTCTGTCTCTCCTGAGCTCCCAGGGCCCTTTGGTCTCTGTCACTGGTTTCCTGGGCCCAGTTCTCCCACAGCTCACTCCCCCTCTGTGCCCTTCTCAGTAAACTCTCTCCTAGAGCTTGACCTGGGCTCTGGATCTCTCTTAGCCTGAACTCAAATCCTGAGGTTGCTGAACCCGGGTCCAGTCTGACACTACCGGCCTGACCCCCGGTACCGTTTTCACTGCCAATGGTTTGCCTCCTCCCGAAAGGACATATGCTCCATGAGACGAGCTTTCTCAGCAGTGCCCGGCATGACGGGCACACAGTAAATGCTGAGTTTTTGTTTTTTGTCTTGTGAGGCATACATAGATAAGGCACCATCCCAGCAGCCTTCACAGCCTAGAGGGGAATAAAGAAGTTTACACAAATAACTGAGATCAGGGCAAAGAACTGTCCTAAGTAGAATCTACAGAGAAAGATCCCTGGAGGGACTGGCCCTGGGACGGGGATTTCCAGCGTGGATAACACATGGACAAGTGGCACGGAAGCAGGGGGCATTCCAGGAGAGGAAACGGCGGAAGCATGAAGGAGGCAGAGTCCCGGGTATGTGAGTGGGGGAGAGGTGAGAATGGAAGATAAGACAGGAGACAGTGCAGAAGGACCTGACCTCAATCCCCTACATGGGAGGGCACTGCCCAAGTCAGCAGACCCACAGGACTATGCAGACATGCAAGACGTCGCCCACATCTTCTGTCCTCACCTTGGCAGCAGGCATGGCTTGCCCATCTGCAGAGTAAGCGAGCCTCAAGAAGAGGGAAACACGCACCAAGGGCAAGGGCGGGGAGTCAGGGCCCTCGGCCCGACCCCAATGTGTCCTGCTGGATGGAAAGCTGGGCGCTCTGCCCACTGAGAGGAGCGCTGGCCTGGCTCCAGGGTCGCTGAGTGCTGCTGAGATTCCGGGAATCCGAAAACGTCAGGGGAGCAGCAGGAGAATAAAAAAACTCAACCGGAAGGAAGGAGAAGGGGCTCAACATATCAATTCCTTTGGGTTTGTCGTTTTACGTAAAATCTCAGCAGGTCCTCGCCGAGTTTCTGGGCAGGCGCTGCTATTCACATTTGACAAAGGAAAGGTGTTTTGTTTTGAAATATATTTTTATTGATTGCAGAGAGGAAGGGAGGGGGAGAAGCATCATTGAAAGAGAATCATTGATTGGCTGCCTCCTGCAGGCCTCACCCTGGGGATGGAGTCCACAGACCTGGCTCACAGGTGCATGCTCAACCTGAGCCAGGCTGGCCGGGCAGGAAAGGTGTTTTTAAAGCTTTTTTTTTTTTCTGTAAATATATTTTATCGATTTTTTACAGATAGTTAGAAACATCGATGAGAGAGAAACATTGATCAGTTGCCTTCTGCACACCCCCTACTGGGAATGTGCCCTGCAACCAACGTACATGCCCTTGACTGGAATCGAACCTGTGACCCCCTTCAGTCCACAGGTCGACGCTCTATCCACTAAGCCAAACCCTTTTTTAAAGCTTTGATAACCCATTATTGAAAGCTGAAAGCCTCATCAGATTTTCATCTTTCCTTCCAGAAATAAGATGCCAGGAAGGGCAGAGCATGGCAGTTAAGTGTTTTCCGAGAGCGGAGAAGCAGAAGACGGCGGTGCCTCCGCCCTCAAGGAGGTGATGGATGCACCGGCGGCGACGCTCCGGACACCCCCGACTCCGGGCCGGAGCAGGTTCGGGGCCGCCTGCCCCCTCGCGCATGCGCGGTATCGTACACCTGGGAGGAGGCGGTGGGAAAGGTCGACTTCCTGCCTCTCACTCCCAGCCCACCGCCTCCCCCGGCGGCCCGCGGGGCGGCCAGGTGCGGCGGGAACCCCAACGTGATGGGCCGCGTCGCTCACACACTTCCCGGGGCCACAAAGGAGCTCGGGGCCCCGGCCGGCGGTGGACGAAACCGCACACAGCGACCGACGTCAGACAACGCGCCCCGCGGTCCCGCCCCCTCACGCCCCGCCCCCTGCGGCCCGGCTCGACCAATCCCGAGCGCCGAGGCGGATGGAACGGACTGACGTCACTGCGGGTCGACCCGCCCACTTCCGGCGCCCGGCGGCCCACGCTCGGGGGTGGGGTACATTTCACACGCGGTGGGCGCAGGGGCGAAGCCGCCCCCCGGCCCCTCGCGGGCCTCGGCGTCAGAATTTCCCCCGGCGCCGGCGCTGCCTCAAAGGTCAGGCTCGCCCACTCTTCTCGGGCGTCGGCGGCCTAACCTTTCGGGGGCTCCGGTGGGGAAATTCGCCGTTTTTGCCGGACCTCTTTACAAAAAACACGTTGACTCAATGGCCCACATGGCCTCCTTCTGCCCAGAAACTTCAGTTTCACCCCGCACCCCCTTAATGAATAGAAAAAGGTGAAAATGGGAGCGTCCCACGGCACCTAAAACTTCCCACTCGCTGCCTGGTTGAAGGAATTTGGGAAGTAAAGATGAAAATAGGACTAAGAAACGGGTTGACATTAATCCATAGCCATAGTCAAAGAGAGGAAGGCACATCTTACAGGGTGGAGATAGAAGGATACTCAGCAAGCACTTATTGATCACCTGCTGTGCCCCAGGGTCTGACCAAGACGGCAAGGTGCCTGCATGGAGCCCACAGGGTGCAGAGACACAGGTGAAAGGCAAAAAGACAAGAAAGCGCTGGAGTCAGTGCTGCCGATTAAACAAAGGGTGCATTCAGAGGGAATGAGTGTATTACTCATTAAGACGAGGTGCAAGAGGTAAGGGTCCCGGGAAAAGAATAACCTGGCAGCAGTTTCTTTGTTATTTATTGTGATCAGGCCGACTATCTGAAAGGCCATGGGTGACCCAGCTGATGCTGGGGCGGCAAAAACTTTTCCTCTGCCTCCTTAGGGTCTCTGGCTGGGCCTGCGAATTGAATTTACCCCAAAAGATAACAAGAGAAAAGCACACACATTTATTCAACACACGTTTTACAGTGACCTGAGAGCCTCCATGAGGACATGGCCCAAAGAAGAGGCAACAGCTTAAATGCTTACATACTGGGTTAGACAGAGAGAGGAGTGTGAAGTAACTACAATAAAATGGGGAGACTAAAGGAGGGAAGTTATTTTAACAAGGTCCCTTTGCACAAATTCTGCTGGACTCAACTCCCTTTCGGGGGGTAAAAATGTCTCTTTTCCTCCTGGCAGAGGGAGGGCTGTTTTTTTTTTTTTTTGTTTGTTTAAAAAAAAAAAAAAAAAAAATATATATATATATATATATATATATATATATATATATATATATATATAATTGATTTTTTACAGAGAGGAATAGAGAGAAACATCGATGAGAGAGAAATATCGATCAGCTGCCTCTTGCACACCCCCTCACTGGGGATGTGCCCGCAACCAAGGTATATGCCCTTGATCCAAATTGAACCTGGGACTTTTCAGTCCGCAGGCCGATGCTCTATCCACTGAGCCACACCGGTTTCGGCGGGAGGGCTGTTCTCACATGAGAGTTTCACCTTCTGCGTTCACCTTTTTCTTTCTGCACCTGCTGTTTTCTAGATGTCTTTAACTCAACATGATCGATTTGGAATGTCTGCAGGTGATGCTCCCCAAAGGCCTTCGCTGACATTAGCCACTCTGTTTCTCTCCCTGGGGATGTGAGCGCCACAGGGCAGAATAGTATTTCTTCACATTTCTGGAAAGCTGAAGTGCTGATGCGTCTTCTAGGTTGTGCTTCCTGCGATGCATCCACACGTGCTGAATGGAAGTGTCCACTTGTTGAATGAAAAAATGTGGTTGGATGGGACGGAATTGTTGTACTTGGAAATAAGAGACTTGACTAGGAAGTGTCTCCATTGCCAGTCCCAGAGCAATGGTTTTTGGTAAGTGGCTTAATTCTTTGACTTTGTAAAAGTGTGATGGGAAATGGGTTTGCACTACAGCGCTAAGAGCATGTCATGAGTGTCGCTGGCTTACTAAGTAATACTGGGAGTCTGTGGTGGGCAGTGTGAGCTTTGGTATCAGAATATCTGAATTTGACTAAAACTCTGCAGAACAGCCCTAGCTGGTTTGGCTCAGGGGAGAGAGCGTGGGCCTGTGGACTGAAAGGTCCCAGGTTCTATTCCCTGTCAAGGGCACATGCCTGGGTTGTGGGCTTGATATCCAGGAGGGGACGTGCAGGAGGCAGCCAATCAATGATCCTCTCTAATCATGGATGTTTCTCTCTCACCCTCTCCCTCTTTGAAATCAATAAAAATATATTTAAAAAAATAAATCAAACACTGCAGAACAGCAGGACCTTACACAGTCATTTCACGCCTCTGGACCTCAACCTCTACATCTGTGAAATGAAAATTATGTTAATACCTGCCAAGACGAAAACATATAGTGTTTAAAACCAGGAACTGGGAAGTAACAGTATTCGCATATTGTCTTATAATACCGAGGCAAGGACCAGGTGAAATAATTTGAAGGGTTGGAACTATTTGCCTCTGAAGAGCAGGGCTGCGGGGTGGGGAGGACTGGGTGCGAAGGCTGCCGTTTTCCATTCGGAGCCTTTCATGCTGCACCAGCGAGCTCCTGCCGTGCGCAAGGGACAACGTCACCCAGTTAAACCCGCTGACAGCAGACCCCGCTCGGCGACGGGAACGCACGGCGGGGCGGCGGCACTAGCGCGGTCACATCCAGCGGGGGCTGTGGGCGGACCGGACCGGCCACTCGGGGGCGGGATTTCGTGCGGTCACGTGAGTCCCCGGGATTCTCGCGGTGACGGAGGTTCCAATGGGAACCCTACTAGGACGCAGACAGGCAGCCCATGCCCAACGGCTCTTTAAGGTGAGAGCGGCCGGATGTGACGTACCGCGATGCGCGAGGCGTGCGTCTGCGCAGTGAGGGGAGCTAGGAGGCCCGGCGGCGTGCGTCTGCGCAGTGCGGAGCTGAGGGCGCTGATAGGGCGGCGTGCGTGCGTGCGTGCGTGCGTGCGTGCGTGCGTGCGTCCGTCCGTCCGTTAGTCCGGTTCCGGTTCACTCCCGGTGCGGAAGTGCTGCGGCCGGGAAGCGGAGCGGTGACTGTGGGCGGAGAGGCGAGGTTCGGGTCGGGGCCTGGGAGCTCGGCGCTGGCGCAGGCCGTGGTGCTGCGGGCGGCGAGGGGGCGCCCGGCCCCCGGCTGGACCGTCCCGCGCCGCCGGGGCGGGGCCTCGGGAGGAAGCGCCCCCAGACGGGTCCCCGATTTCGCCGCCTGAGCACCGCGCGGCCTTCTAGTGTAACTAGATGGGCTTTCCGCTGCCAGCGCGTAGCAACGCCAAAACTTCCCAAAGGGTGTGCACAGCATCCACCGGTTTGGTGGAAATAGTAGGAAAATACAGTGTGTTTTGCACGGACAGCAAGTTTTCCAGAAGGAGGAGGGGCTAAAATCTGTGCAGACCCCGGGGTGGCCGCTGTCAATGGAAGAACTGCCTAGTCGGGTTGCTTTGGGGGAGGGGATTCCCACCTTTCGCCCTGGTAAAAAAAAAAAAAAAAAAAAAAAGCCTGTGCTCACATTTTAAAGTGTTACCCCACCTCACCCCCGCCCCGAATTTTTAGTACAGTTATTGGAATTTAAAAAAAATCCCCTCCAAAAATTTTATAGGCCGGTTGCTAAAGACTGTGAATTTAGTGTTTTGCCCATGCAACGCTTTCGTCATTTCTATGTAAGAGAAACGTGCTGCAAAAAGAGAAAACTGCGTTGTGTGAAATGCAAGACCCATGTCCTTGTGTTTCAGAAAACTTCATCTGCAATATGTTATTAGAAATTGGGTTTTTTAAATTTCAAAGAAATTCAGTACGAACATGGGTGAGCAACCATACTGTTCTCATCTCAGAAAACGCAGCCGTTGAAATCCTGTGTAAACCAATAGTAACCAAAAATGCTGCTTTCATAGTCAGGGGTGTTTGTCTATCACAGGGATCCTGCCGCTCTTTGGCCCCTTGAGTTTTTAGCAAAGGCCCGCTTAGGAGGACCCTAATTAAGTTAATAACAATGTACCTACCTGTATAAGTTTTAAAAATTTGGCTCTCAAAAGACATTTCAATCGTTGTACTGTTGATACTTGGCTCTGTGGACTGATGAGTTTGCCGACCACTGGTCTATCAGAACTGTTTCCCTGGGAGGCACTTGGTTACTCTGCCTAAAGATAATCCCAAACTTTAAAACTGTGGCTATTCCAGGATCGCAGTAAGAGTTTTTAAAGTGCCTTTTATGTTTTAAATCCAGTCGTTAAGAACACAGCGAGAAAATGGCTTCAAAGAGAGCGCTGGTCATCCTGGCGAAGGGAGCGGAGGAGATTGAGACGGTGGTCCCCGTAGATATCATGAGACGCGCTGGAGTAAGTCCCTCCCCCTTATAGAAACCAGCTTTGACTTTTAAAAGTCGTTTTGGAATAAAACAGTATTTAACTTGGTGAAATATTTCAGACAGAACAGGCTGCATGATAATTACCCGTTTATCCAGTATCTGCGCTTAATGCTTGTCAGCAGTTTGCCCTGTTTCTGTCCGAGCGTTTCTTGAAGAACAAATGCTTTAAAGAGAGAGAACATTGCAAAGTGCTCCGTGAACGTCCCCCATGCGGTTCCCCTTCCGACCCAGAGATCAAGCGGCCTGAGACTAGTTCTCATCGTGCTTCTCTGTGCCATTCACCTATATAAGGCATCTAGGCCCGTGGTCGGCAAACTGCGTGCGGCTCTCGAGCCACACGCGGCTCTTTGGCCCTTTGAGTGTGGCTCTTCCACAAAATACCACGGCCTGGGCCAGTCTATTTTGAAGACATGGCGTTAGAAGAAGTTTAAGTTTTAAAAATTCAGCTCTCCAAAGAAATTCAATCCTTTTGCTGTTGATGTTTGGCTCTATTGACTGATGAGTCTGCCGATCACTGCTCTAGGCCCATTGTGAATCCGTAAACAGCATTTACTCAGTGCTAGGTATCATTCTGAGCGCTTCTAGAAACTTGTTTGAATCTTACAACCGCCCTGTGTGTAATTGCCATCCTTATTGTATAGTTGAAGAAACTGAGGCAAGAGACACTAAACTGAGTGCCCCCACTGGCGAGTCAGTAAGTAGAAGAGCTGGGAACCCCACATTCCTCCGGTTCTCTGTAGTGTCGGCACGTGTGGGTCCAGGGAGTTCATTTAAAATGGCTGCCCGGTGTTCCTCGGTGGGTATGCTGCCGTCTGTCTGTAAACTCCCTCTGGAGGGTTGTCTCACGCATTACAATACTCTCACGTTCTCATACAGGCGTGCGCGAGGGTTCCCAGGCTCAGGGCCTGCAGGTGAGCGGGGTGGGCGGAGGACCCGCCCAGTGGGTGTTCCTAGATTTTGTTAATGACTCCAAGGACCGGCGTGTTGGACCCACCAGCCGTGTAGGAACCTCCCCGTGGTCCCCCACTCAGCTCTTGGTGTCGTCTGTGCCAGAGAAAGAAGCATTTCCTCGCTCTAATGGCAGCAGCGACTGCACGGTGGGTTAGCGATGGGAGGACCATAAACTTTACCTCCCAAACCAGAACACCTCTGGGAGAAAGGCCATCACCAGACGGGGCGCTGGGAGTGTCTAATCCCCGTCCCAGGCAAACGGACAGACCTCGTTAGTGAATGCATTTCGCCGATTTATTAGCGTAACGCCGGCTGGCTTTGTTGCCTTATTTCCTGTCACTCTAAAACCCCGAACAGATGTGCAGGCGTGACTCTGTTTCAGTGTTAAATACCACGATGACCTCTTTCTTTCTCTCAGATCAAGGTCACTGTTGCGGGTTTGGCGGGAAAGGACCCCGTGCAGTGCAGCCGAGATGTCGTCATCTGTCCCGATGCCAGCCTGGAAGATGCCAGGAAACAGGTTGGTTCTCTGCTGAAGCCTCCTCCCCGGCTGCTGCACCCGGTTCGCGGAGGTCCGTGAGTCCGCCTGAGGCTGCTGCTCGCACAGACCTGCTTTAGGGAAGTGACTTTGCTTAAATATCTTCCCCAGATCCGCCCGCAGGGGAGGGCTCTGCCTTCTCCACCGCGCAGCTGGCAGTCCGGTCCCTCCTGTGCTCAGTCAGAGGCCGGGTGGGCTGGTGGAGTGAGGGGACACTTGCAGGCAGCAGTGTCCTGGCTTCCACGGCAGCCCTGCCTCCTGTTACCGCTTTGTCACTTGGCAGATCAGCCGCCGTGCCCCCATTCATCTCCGAGCCTCTGTTCAGAAGCCGCGCTCTCCCGTGCGGTGAGACAGAGGAGTTGTGTGGTTCCTGTTGCGTCAATGGCTCCTCCCTGGTCAGTGGGTGGATCGAGGAGGAGGAGTTCCCCTTCACTGGTGTCGCTTTTCCAGGGTCTTTAGAATTGTGGTTCGAACTCTGAGGGGTGACCAGCACTGTGGGCCCCTGGCAGAGCTGAGGTCTCTCTCCTCGGGAGCGTGCCCGCACATGGGCACAGAGGCTTTCATGGGCGGCAGGCTTGCCCGGCCCCGTCTGCCAGCCAGTGGGCTCTGCCCTCTTGAGCGGAGGTCTGGCCGGAGAGGAGGCAGAGCCAGCTCTCTGAGGATCCTGGGAGTCTGCGTCCCAGGTCTTGAGCGTCCTGCGCTGCGTGGACCACAGTTCCTGTCTTCTGGGGAGTTGGGGTATTGTGGTGGTGGATCGTGGGGTGTTGGAATATTGGTATTTACATGTCAGTGGTTGAAACTTCCCAAGAGGCACTTCACAAGCGAGAGTCGAAGTAAACGTTCCTTCTCTTCTCCTTCAGCCCGTTGTGTTTCAGATCAGTTGTTTTCTTTGTGTCCATGCGTGGGCCCGTTCAGAATCGAAGAGTAAAGGAGAATCTATGCTTCACATATTTTCTTTTTAGTGTTTAATTTTGCTTTGTTTTAAAACACCAGTGGGATGTTTATAGTATCTGAAAGTAATTCTAACTAACAGATGTTGCTCTAAATATAGGCTACATTTTCATTTTGTAATTTGCTTAATGACTACATTTTTAAAACTTTTTAACATCTGAAAGCCTTATAAGTTTGTCATTTCAGCAAATTGGAAGTCAGTAGAATTCTAGGGTTTTTTGGTGATTGGGACACTAAAAAATTACATCATATTTCTCCCCCAAGTTTCATTTCTCATAAGGTTAAAAGTATTTTTCTTTGCCTGTTACTTAAAATTTGTTTTTCTTTTGACTATCCTTCATTACTGTGTACATTCTTTTTTTTTTTTTTTTTTTAATATATTTTATTGATTTTCTACAGAGAGGAAGGGAGAGAGATAGAGAGCTAGAAATGTCGATGAGAGAGAAACATTGACCAGCTGCCTCTTGCACACCCCCTACCGGGGATGTGTCTGCAACCAGCATACTTGCCACTGACTGGAATCGAACCTGGGACCTTTCAGTTCGAAGACCAACGCTCTACCACTGAGCCAAACCGGTTTCGGCTCTGTGTACATTCTTGTCGAAAAAGAGCTCTCACGGTGCAGACACACAGAAAGTTATTAATACAATGCGATGTCTCATTCTCTCCCTTCCCTCCATCCCACTGCTCCCCATTAGCTGTTGGAGTATCTCCTTTGTGAGTGTTTGTGTACACATGTGTCTGGTGTGTATATCATACATGTACATCTGCATGCGCGCACACGCAGTTTTTACAAGGAGGAGGTCATGCTACACCTACTCCTGCAACATGGATGTCCTCATGCACAGACTTTCTGCATGTTTTGCTGGTTACAGCATTTCATCATAGAGATACACCTTAATTTATTTCACTTTTCGGTGAACAGTTTTTTTCTGTGACCCATATTTAAAATAAGAAAGTTTTACTGACTGTCGTGTTCATGCACATTTCACATGAAATGTTATTTTTAAACTGTCACAGGGGCCTTACGATGTCGTGGTTCTGCCGGGAGGAAACCTGGGTGCCCAGAATTTGTCTGAGGTAAGCACAGAGTCTGTGTGAGGTAAGCACAGAGTCTGTGTGAGGTAAGCACAGAGTCTGTGTGAGGTAAGCGCAGAGTCTGTGTGAGGTAAGCACAGAGTCTGTGTGAGGTAAGCACAGAGTCTGTGTGAGGTAAGCACAGAGTCTGTGTGAGGTAAGCACAGAGTCTGTGTGAGGTAAGCACAGAGTCTGTGTGAGGTAAGCACAGAGTCTGTGTGAGGTAAGCGCAGAGTCTGTGTGAGGTAAGCACAGAGTCTGTGTGAGGTAAGCGCAGAGTCTGTGTGAGGTAAGCACAGAGTCTGTGTGAGGTAAGCGCAGAGTCTGTGTGAGGTAAGCACAGAGTCTGTGTGAGGTAAGCACAGAGTCTGTGTGAGGTAAGCACAGAGTCTGTGTGAGGTAAGCACAGAGTCTGTGTGAGGTAAGCACAGAGTCTGTGTGAGGTAAGCACAGAGTCTGTGTGAGGTAAGCGCAGAGTCTGTGTGAGGTAAGCACAGAGTCTGTGTGAGGTAAGCACAGAGTCTGTGTGAGGTAAGCACAGAGTCTGTGTGAGGTAAGCACAGAGTCTGTCTGAGGTAAGCGCAGAGTCTGTCTGAGGTAAGCACCGCATACAGACAGGGTGTCAGCGTGGGCCTGTGTGCTGTGGATTTGCTGTTATTAAATATTTCAGGAAAGGGGTGGGAATAGAATAGGAACAGGTGAAGTGAACAATCCGTCTTCATTTAAAAAAGCCGTTTCTGATGACACATGCTACAGAAGGCAGTCAGGCTGGTGGACAGTGGCTTATGAACACAGTCCGGATGTTAGAGCACATTTCCCCTCTGAGCAGCAGAAGAAAAAATGTATGTTCCATTCAGGTTACGCATGGAGGGATAAGAGCTTAGCGTCTCCTCGCCAATGGGGAGGGGCCGCAGGGGCTGGGCTGAGGCACGTGAGGAGTCCCCTGCGGGAGGGGGGAGGCGTGGCCAGGCTCGGGAAGCAGGCGGAACCAGCTCCGGGGCTGTGGGCCTGTCCTGACTTCGCAGCTGAAGACGCCCAACACCACAGTCCGTGTGTCCACCTCTTTTTTCCTCGGAGTACGAGGCTGGACACTGACAGGGAGAGGGGGACACTGTGCCCAGGGAAAGCTGTTTTCCTCGTCTCCACTTCAAACAGCTTTTTAAAATAAACATTTTTATTGATTTCAGAGAAGAAGGGAGAGGGGGAGAAGCTGAAACATCAATGATTAGAGAGTATCATTGACCGGGTGCCTCCTGCATGCCCCCTGCTGGGGATGAGCCTGCGGCTCAGGCATGCACCCTGGTCGGGAATTGAGCCACGCCAGCTGGCAACTTCAAACATCTTTAAGGAAAGGATGCCTTTCTCTTATATCATTAAGTGCCTTGATTGGGTTTAGGGAGGAATGTAGAAACATGAGTTTGATAACTTTTGTATTGGAAATATTAATATCTAGAAGTACTGTTTAAAAGTAGTTAGGTTTCAGATCTTGTGGAGTAGGCTAAGCTCAGGTTCTGTGAAGTTGCTGGCCAGCTGCTGGCCGGAGGCTCACTGGGGACTCGGTGTGTTTGTCCGCACAGTCTGCCGCTGTGAAGGAGGTCCTGAAGGAGCAGCATGGCCGCCAGGGCCTCATCGCCGCCATCTGTGCAGGTACGTGCGGACCGGACCCTCCGCCATGGGCGGCGGCTTCTCCCCCAGAGCCGCCTGACCGGGGCTCACCCACGAGACCGTGTCCGCGCACTTCCTCCCCTTCTCAGAGCGCGGAAGCTTCTGGACCGGCTCTTGGTTTGGGTGCATGAAGGGGGTCATTTCAGAAATGAGAACAGTTCTTTTCTGCCTCCCCGTGCTTTGGCGGCCCTCTGATACACATCATGTTTCTGTTTGGTTGACCTCGGAGGAAAGCCAGGCCCCCAGGAGTTCAGTAAACAGCTTGTTACAGCAATCTCCATGCCAGGAAGGACTCTGCCAGCACCGTCAGCACCAATCGCTGCCAGAAACGCAGCCCTGCCCGTGGATCCCAGGCCTCGGCGCTCCTGCCTGGCCCTCGGTGCTGGTGCTGGATCCCACTGCCACCGAGTTTAGAGGAAGGTCATTGTGCTTCATAGATGCCCCCCCCCCCCCCCGCTTAGAAACTTAGAAATGTTTTTATTTCAATACCATTTTTTTAAGAGGGAAAGAGATGGAGAGAGAAAAACATGGATGAGAGGGAAACATCATTGCTCGGCTGCCTCCTGCACACCCCCGTGGGGACGGACCTCCACAGTGTAATTTTGTCATCGGTGCCTCCTTGTCATAGGCTTTTATTAAATGCTTGTCAAGCGTGAAGTGAATGCAAGTCTGGTGGAATGGATTGAATGGTGAAGTGATGTTTTCCTCAGTACGGTGGAGTTTTTACAATAGTTGTAGGTCAGGGATTCTCGGGACGGTATGAGAGCTGTGGTGGCCAGCGTCATCTCAAAGGGGCTGGAAGGTCAGCAGATACGATGGAGACATAATTTGCCTTTTTCCTTCTGGCTCTCACAGGAGGGATAACAGAGTGCCGATGTTTTTATTCGGGCAGGGTGTGTGTGCTCAAGCATGGTGTTGTAAGGTTTCCAGCTTTAATTTCTAGCTGGGCAGTTATTAACTACGAGAGAGAACCCACATGAAAGCTAGCGGGTTCCTAGGACCTAACTGTTTGAGAACCGCTGTGTGAGAGACGGGAGCGGTGGGGACTGCCCTGCAAGCGCTGTCCTAGGATCCTGCTCAGCACCAGCTTCTGGGCCTGCCCCCAGGCCCAGGGGCTTCTTTGCTGGGGACTGTCAGGCAGCCCCTGCAGCGGCGCCCTCTATGGGGAGGGGAGGAAGGCGCAGGGCCGCTTGGCTATAGGGACTTGGTCCAGGTGCCCCAGCCTCCATCTTGGTGCTCTCCAGCAGGAGGAAAGGAGACCTTGGGGCTGTTCCCTGCAGACTCTGCGGACCATAAACCACATGTCAGCTCGTCCTGTGTCAGGGGTAGCAGGTTATCAGCCGCATCTGGTGGCTGTTTTCACTCAGGCCTGAGTGCTTAGCCCTAAGCGTCATCTACAGCGACATGAGGAAGTGACAGCTCTGACCGAGTGCTGGTGCCGGTCAGGATCCTGCCCCACTTCCCTGGGTGCTGCGAACAGGGAAGTGTGACGGGAAATGAGGTGATTCTTAGTGTTGCAGTTACAAACGGGGAACAGAGAGAATAGGAACTTGGTCCTAAATACGGAGTGAGTGAGACAGAGTGGAAGGGGACTATTGTGGAAATAAGTAAAGAGCCTCACTCAGGGTGGGGGAAGGAGCCAGCAGTGGTCCATGCCTGAGTCCAGGTACAATCTCAGGGAGCCCTGGAGGGGCTGGGGTGGCTGAGGTGTTCTTCCTGTAAATCACCACACGGTGGCGCTGCAGGCTTCCTCTCTGCTGTCTAAGGGGATTCTGTCTACTGTTCACCCTGTCTCCTGCTAGAGCTCGTCTCAGCAGAATTTGAAGTAACAGTAGTAGTTAAATACCTCTGTCCTCATTTTCCAATCGGATCTGGAAGCCCCAGACAGCAGTAATGATGAGCTCACCATAGTGAGTAAGGCATCAGCAGGGTTCTACCTTCAACCGTGACGTCACTGGAGGCAGCACGTGTGTCGTGAGAGGAGCAGCCTGAATTTCCCGTCCGCCCCCTCCTCACTGCTCAGGCACCTGGGGGATTGCTGAAAACATACGGTCATGTCGGTGATGACTTCTTGTTTTCTGAAAATCTTAGAAAATAAGAATGAAGGGTCATTCGTGAGCTCATCAGAATAAAAAAGTGAGTGATCATTATGCAATTTTTATGGACTTTTAAAACTTGCTGCCATACGTAGCTGTCTCATGCTGAGGATAAAAGTAAGGTGGAGAGAGACATCAGTTATATTTGAGGATTTTGATTGACGAGAGGTAAGTCAGGACTGGGTCTGAAACTGACACCTGGCGTTGGCAGAAAGCTTACGTAATTCCGTGTTGTTTGTTTGATCTCTGTAGCCGCTATGGTCTGAGGAGCCTGTTGGTTGGTTACATAACTGCTTTCTACTTGGGTTCCTGTTGCAAAAGGAAGGGGCGGTGAGAGCTAGTGCTCGGGCTGCTGAGCTGCAGTGTATGGCTGTCCTGGGCCTGGCCACGTGCCCTCCATTCGGGCGTCGGGTGCGATTCTGAAGCCTGTTGTTCTCGGTGCAACGTGAGGGCTTAGAACGTGTGCGTGTTTGTGTGTGTGTCTTAGAGAAAAAAGGGAGACTAACTTTAAAAAGTCTTTAAGATCATATAACAATGGTTTAAAACCTTCTTGGTTTTAGTCCTTATTTGAGGAACCTGTTACAAAATCTGCTTGTTGATGTTGACCATACCAACATGACCATACATGTTGATAAATCTCATTTTAAGAGGAAAGATACAGAGGATCGCAAATCATTTGTGTGTGGTTCTTCTCTTCAGTAGCTTTAGAGCTTCATCTCTCAGACGTGCACACATTTCATGGGAAACTCCTCCAGGGCGGATGGTGTTCCGCTCATTTTAATGCCCTCCTAGTGCACCTGGTCCGTTTGGCTGGCTGGATGGCTGGCTGGATGGCTGGCTGGATGGATGGCTGGATGGATGGATGGATGGATGGCTGGCTGGATGGATGGATGGATGGATGGATGGATGGATGGATGGATGGCTGGATGGATGGCTGGATGGCTGGCTGGCTGGCTGGGTGGCTGGGTGGCTGGGTGGCTGGGTGGCTGGCTGGATGGATGGATGGATGGATGGATGGATGGATGGATGGCTGGCTGGATGGATGGCTGGATGGATGGATGGATGGATGGATGGATGGATGGCTGGCTGGATGGCTGGATGGCTGGCTGGATGGATGAATGGGTGGATGGGTGGATGGGTGGATGGGTGGATGGGCGGCTGGATGGCTGGCTAGCTGGATGAATGGATGAGTGCAGGTTTTTTAGATTCAAGCGGGAAAATAAAAGTGCTCTCTAAAATAGCAGTGAGGCCCAGGAGTTCGGAGGGACTGCTATGGAACTAAAATTTTCATTTGTCAAGAGGAAGGATGGGCTTTTTCAGATGACAAGGGTCTCCCCATCTTGTACCCCTGACATGCATACTGCCTGTTCCTTGAGGCGAGGCCACAGTCTGTTGACCTGTGTGCTCCGACCTTAGGTGTCAAAGTGAGTCTTTTTGATGAAGTGGTTTTTGATGTTTTTGATTTTGTGCACTTGCCAAAAGTGCTCGGGAGATGGTTTATTATAAACACCAGAGGCCCGGTGCACAAAATCCATACACAGGCCTGGACTGCGATCAGGGCTGATCTGTGGGGTGATCAGCAGGGTGATTGGGGTCCCTCCTGGCGCCAGCCTGGCCCACCAACCAGTGGGGTGATGGGGGGGCAGGGGCAGCAGTGCTGGCCTGCTCATCAACCGGCCCTGTCTCTCTCCCCGCCCCCTGCCGCTGCAGGTCCACCTCCGTCTGTGGGAGGTGATGGGGGGTGTGGCAGGTGATGGGGGGTGTGGCACCAGCCTGCTTGCTGGTGGGCCCCGCTCCTGCCACTGCCTGCTCGCTGGCTTGCCCCACTGCCAGTCGCCTCCTTCTGCGGGGCTCCCGGCGGGGCAATCAGGAGGGTCCCCGCTGGCACCTGTCTTGGCTGGCCTGGGGCCTGTGGGCTAGGGGAAGCCCCTGCGTTGAACATCTGCCCCCTGGTGGTCAGTGCATGTCATAGCTACTGGTCATTTTGCTGTTCAGTAGATTTGCATATTAGGCTTTTATTATATAGAAAGATATTTTGCCTATTGTACTAACAAGTGTATAACTTCAGAATCATAAGTATATTTTAGGTAAGAGCCTCCTGGTTTTGAAGAATATTTTTGCTTCTGCAATTTTTAAGACATTTTTTTTTTCAATAACTACACTTAAATCTTTATTAATCTTCTTTCTAGGTCCTACGGCTCTGTTGGCTCATGAAATAGGTTTTGGAAGCAAAGTCACAACACACCCACTGGCTAAAGACAAAATGATGAATGGGAGTAAGTACATGCTTATATTCTAAGTTACAAACAGACTTCAAAAAGCTGCACTTTAGCATCGTTTCCCACGGGTGTGATCCGTCTGGAGAGGCTGCCTGGGGGTGAGGAGTGCTGTGCTCCTCGCTTTCTCTGTCAGAGAGAGGCTGACCCGGCAGAGGACTGGGCAGAGGCCGTGCGGGGCCGGGCGGGGCGGCTCCCGCTGTTCCCGGTGGCGGTGCTGGTGGCAGGCCAGGTCAGCTAGTGTTTCTACCAAACACGTTGCCAGTGGCTGAGGGTAAACCTTAACTCGACAGCAGCTGCAGAAAGTGCCCTTTGCCCAGGGTCCAGGGTCCAGTGCACGTTGCTCTCCCGTCAGAGGCGGGTGGCGGCTGCTGCCCGGTGACCCGTTTCTTTTACGGCATCAGCTGGACGTTTTCCCGTGGCAGCTGATGTTCTCAGGTGAGAAAGCACACAGGCGGGAGGGTGACGTAAATGCTGTCCTCCTCTACCTGCTCAGAGTTCTGTGTGTGCCTCTAGAACGTTCTCTACCTCTGCTCATTGTCCTTTGTAGTTTAATGTTTTTACTCCAATGAGAGCTGCTATGTCTTGTCCTGCAGCTTGCTTTTTAAAACTAACGTCGTCTTACATATTTCTTTGTTATTTGTCACAAATGTCTTTAATCCTCTGGGAGGCTTGTTATTTGGAGGCTGTAGAAGGAGCGTGCCATTGCCTGTCCTCAGGAGGGACCTGCTCCAGAGACACCTCCACCCCATGCAGAGCACAAGGGGCAGCATTGGGCAGCTCAGTGTAACCGGCCCTGAGTGTCCACCCGCACCCTGAGCAGCACGGCCTCGGCGAGGGCTGCCTCCTGTGCCCTCAGCAGCAGTGGCAGTGTCTTCTCCTCTGCTGTCTGCCTGGCGTGCACGTGAACTTCTCAGAGAAAGAACAGTCACACCTGTGTGGGTCATGGCACAAGAATCAGACATTTCCAGTACAAACCAAATGAGGATCACTTGGTATTCAACCAGCGTGGAAAGTGAATTTAAAATTCCAGCCAGCCGAAAATCAGCGGATAAACCGGCAGACAAAATAGTATCAAAAGCGGATCTGAGGGTGCCAGCAGCTGACCCAGTGTTTCCCTCCGTCCTGCTCTGGGCTTACGTTTTGAACTAAAACATAAAGGACAACAGCTGACATATCCAACAGCAAAGGAAGCATTTCTCAGTATATTGCTGGGTGTTTTTTTTTTAAATAAATAGGCTTATTTTTTTAAAAATTTGTTTTTCAAGGTTAGGACTAGGGTTAGGATTAGGGCTAGGGTTAGGGTTATGGTTAGGGTTAGGATTAGGGTTAGGATTAGGGCTAGGGTTAGGGTTAGGATTAGGGTTCTAAATAGGCTTTGAGAGCAGTTTTAGGGCCACAGAAAAGTCAAACTGAAAGCTCCTGTGGACCTGTTGCCTCCCAGGTGCGTTTTCTCCAAAGAGACTTCTGTCTTCAGGGCGTTTGCTTGGAGCAAAGAAAATGAAGCCGAAGCCCGTTGCGGCCAGGTGGGCTGTGAGTGTGGGTTTGACAAGTTCCAGTCCTCGCCCTGGGCATCCCCTGCTAGTGAGTGGGCATGCGCTGTTCTCCCCCTCGACGCCACGAGGGGGCGGTAGTGGATAAGGGTGGACCATCGGCTCTTCCTGGTGGAAATTCTGAGAAGCTCCATGGAACATCTTTAAACTTCTTTAACCAGTTAAAGGTGTTTGTTATATTTACTCTTAAAGAGATTGTTAAGTGAGCAACTAGCCATTTAGGATCGTGCCTGCTGCTGCCCAGTCTCGGCAGCTCACCCCATGGTTAGCATTGGGAATGCTCTGGCCTACTCACGTACGTGAGGTCAGTGCATGAGGTCGGCGATGAGAGCCTCTCACACCAGAGGTCTCTGAGGCTGCAGTAGTGTCACAAGGAGGTTTTTGATGTACTGTGTCCCGTTATCTCAGTAGGTCTCTGGATTAAAAATATATAAATATAAATATAAAGTCTCTATATATTATTGATTTCAGAGAAGAAGGGAAAGGGAGAGAAAGATAGAAACATCAATGATGAGCCGAAACCGGTTTGGCTCAGTGGATAGAGCGTCGGTCTACAGACTGAAGGGTCCCGGGTTCGATTCCGGTCAAGGGCATGTGCCTTGGTTGTGGGCACATCCCCGGTGGGGGGTGTGCAGAAGGCGGCTGGTTGATGTTTCTCTCTCATCGACGTTTCTGGCTCTCTATATCTCTCCCTTCCTCTCTGTAAAAAATCAATAAAATATATTTTTTTTAAAAAAAAGAAACATCAATGATGAGAGAGAATCATTGTTTGGCTGCCTTCTGCACGCCTCCCAATGGGGATGGAGCCCACAACCCGGGCCTGTGCCCTGACTGGAAATCGAACTGTGACCTCCTGGCCCATAGGTCCACCCTCACCACTGAGCCGGGCTGGATGGGCTATTTTTTTAATCTTCACCTAAGGAAATGTTTTTGTTTTTTTTGTTTGTTTTAAATGTATTTTATTGATTTTATACAGAGAGGAAGGGAGAGAGACAGAGTTAGAAACATCGATGAGAGAGAGTCATCGATCAGCTGCCTCCTGCACACCCCCCACTGTGGATATGCCCGTAACCAAGGTACATGCCCTTGACCGGAATCAAACCCGGGACCCTTCAGTCCCCAAGCCGATGCTCTATCCACTGTGCCAAACCGGTCCCGGCCTAAGGAAATGTTTTTATTAATTTTTAAAGAGAGCAACACTGATGGTTGCCTCTTGTATATGCCCTGACTCGGGATCAAACTTGCAGCCTGGTATGTGCCCTGACTGGGAGTCGAACCTGTAACCTTTCGGTGTACAGACGACGCGCCAGCCACCGGAGGCCTGTCCTGGGAGATGAAGAGACGCCGTTAGGTGGTGTGAACCACATTGAAGGACAGGAGCCGCGGTGCGGCTTCCAAAGCCATTGTGACACCAGCTGCGTGCTTCTGCGTAGGGGTCGTTACCAGCTTCTCCTGAGCGTCCTCAGGCTCCGGGCGAGGGCGTGGGGGGGGGGGAGAAAATGGGGGGTCAGAGAGTGTGTGCTGCGGGCCGGAGCTCAGGGAGGACCCTGTCACCGTGTCCCGCGTCGCTGCGGGCACCGCCTCCCCTCAGTCCTGGCACAGACAGCTGGCGGCATCCTTGATGCCTCTCTGTCCAGTTCTTCCCTGAGGTCTGACATTGCACCTCAGCAAACCTCAGACCTCCATCTCCCCCTGCTGCCGCCCTCCCCTGCCCGCTCGGTTCCTTCCCTGCCGTCTGCGGGCCAGGCCGGCGGCCGTGCACCGTGACGGGCTCTCTTCCCTGGGCACCGGGGACGTTGGCGAGGGCGAGGCGCTGGAGGGGAGAGCGGGCGGGCCGTGGTTTGCCTGTGGGACGGTCCCTGTGCGGTGCTGAGCGGGTGCAGTGGACGGACCGTCGAGCCGGGGCCGAGGGGCCAGCAGTGTGGTGGGCCCGCCTGTGGAAGAGGCAGTGCCCGGAGCTGACGGTTCAAGCTCAGTCCCTGCGGGCAGGGCGCCGGGAGCCGCGGCTGAGGGAGGGAGGAGGGCACAGGCCTGTGTTGACGCTGCGGCCGTGAGTGAAGAGAATGGGCGAGGGAGCAGGAAAGACCCGGTGAGCTCGGAACGGGGCTTCCACGTGCGAGTGAGGGGACAGGGAGGGCCGGTTCTGATGACCACCTGGGCAGGGAGGCCGTGCGGAGAAATCCCCCGTGTCCGCGTCTTGCTCAGGTGGAGGCGAAGCACACTGCCTGTGACTGTGTTTGCAGAAAGAACAGGGGTCTCCCTCCACAGCCCCTGCCCCTCCCTCCCGGCACGGCCCGCTGTGTGGTGCCAGTGCCGAGGCACACGGCTCCCGCTTAGCACGGGGAGCGGGGCCAGGCGTGAGGGCGCCCGTTTCGGTGTCCGTGCTGTGCTGATGAGCGGTGATGGCGGGCAGGGGTGGAATCACTGAGCGATGCCCGCTGTGCGTGTGGCCTGCAGGACGTAACCCTGTCCTCTCCCGCCCAGACCACTACAGCTACTCGGAGAGCCGCGTGGAGAAGGACGGCCTGATCCTCACCAGCCGCGGCCCGGGCACCAGCTTCGAGTTCGCGCTGGCCATCGTGGAGGCGCTGAGCGGCAAGGAGGTGGCCGAGCAGGTGAAGGCCCCGCTGGTGCTGAGAGACTAGCCCGGCCCTGCTCCCCCTTCGTGTTCGTGCTGCTGGCGGGGAGGCCGGGCGCCGCCCTGGGAAAGGGGCGCCAGGCTTCCTCAGATCCCCCCACGATGTCCCCGCATTTCCGAACCTCGTTACAGAATAAACAGACGGAGCAAACTACCGGTTCCTTCTCTCTCTCCCATTTCTTTTGTGAAAGTAAACTCGTCCTCAGCTCTGAGCAGGCTGGCTGCGCTGGCTGAGTGAGGGGCAATGGCTTTTAATGAGGTGTGCTTGGTCTTCGCCGCGGCTGGCTCAGTGATCGTGGTGTCTGTGTGAGCGAGGCTGCTCTGGGGTCCCGCCCGAGGTGGGGCTGGATGCCGTGGGTGAGGCTGGCCTGTCGGCAGCTCCCTGACCCTGGTGGGAAGGCCCTGACTGAGTCAGTTGGGACATAGTGCGGCCCCAGCGCCCGCGGGGTCAGGCAGAGGTCCGTCCTCGGGCTTCCACGAGGGGACCCTATCTCCTGCCAGCGCACTGGGCCAGTTCCCCAGGGAGACGCCTCCTGAGGCCTTGCCCTGCCCGCCTCCTGCCCTGTGGTGATGCCGCCTTCACGCCCTGTGGTCTCCGTCCTGTCCCAGCAGCTCCCACCCACCAGGGCGTGTGGACCCCAACCTGTGGCTGGCGTCGGGCACAGGGAGCAGCTGGGGCGTGTGGCCGCAGCCGGGAGGGTGGGCTGAGCCTGGGCCCTCACCTGTGGGCCCTGAGGATTGCTTGTTGGTGTGGGCCAGCCTGCACACACACGCACAGACATGCACTCTCACGCATGCGCATGGAACCCCTCTCAGCACGTGTGTAGCCAGGACAAAAGGCGCAGATGAGATCACAGGCTGCCATGACTCGGGTGAACCGCATCTCGGTGGTGGCCGGGCTGTGGGGGCGGTCGGGCCGGGAGGGCGGCCGGGCTGTGGGGGCGGTCGGGCCTGGAGGGCGGCCGGGCTGTGGTGGTGGCTGGGCTGTGGGGGCGGTTGGGCCGGGAGGGCGGCCGGGCTGTGGGGGCGGTCGGGCCGGGAGGGCGGCAGGGCTGTGGGGGGGCCATGGCGGTGGAGCTGGGACCAGGCCTCTTCCATGCAGAGGAGCCGGCTGGCAGAGAGCTCTGAGTGGGTGCAGCCTGTTTCTAGGGTAACAACTCCCAGCTGTTCGCCTGGGAACCACCCGCTCCCACGGACGAGGGTCACACCTGGGAGGGCATGCCCAGGCCAATCAGCCTTCACTGACCAGCCCAGTGAGGCCGCTCCGCAGCGCCCCCCCCAGCCTGGCGCGGCCTTTGCTGCCGGTGCTGCGGTGCCTGGCTGAGGGCGCGGGCAGACACACGGGCTGCGGGCAGCCACCTTGTCACATGAGAACGGCTCCAACACGGGCGTGGAGAGCTGACCGGGACTGGGCTGCTGACGGACCCAGCACCGCCCTGCTTTCCTGTGTCCGTGGCCCGTGCGTGACGGGCCCAGCGCGCAGGAGCGGAGCAGGCCAGGCCTCCGAAAGCCGCGGCTCAGGCCGCCGGACAGAACGGCCCCAGTCCCCGCCCGTCGTGGGCCCGGTCCTGCTCTCCCTCCTCTGCTCGCACGGCGTCGGAACCTGCGGAGCCCAGGCGGCTGGTATCAGACTCGTGGGCCGGTGCCCCTCTCCTGATCGCCCGGAGCAGCCACGCGTGGGGCCATGAGCCGGGCTGCATCTTCACGGAGCGGGCAGCGCTGGCGGCTCGGCGACCCCTGGACCAGAGGCAGCAGGTGAGTCCTTAGGGGACACGTGCAGTTGCTCGGCCTGATGGGCGCTGAGGCCAGCACTGCACGGCGGTGGGTGGTGGGCTGTGGGCCGTGACAGGTCTCGGGTTCATCCCGTCAGCAGCTCGCTCTGTGCCCGCTGTGCTGTGTGCCCGCCTCCGCCTGGGGGCTGTGAGCCCCCGAGAGTCACACCGTCTGACCTCCTAGAGCTTGTGTCGAGGGGGAGGAGGGAAGGCGAAACTGGGAGCATCTGCCCCGAGAAGACACGTGCGGGGAGGAGGCGGGGGAGGCGGGGGGGAGGGAGCGTCTGCGCAGGGACCACGGGTGCCTGCAGAGCTGGTGGGAGGCGGGCGGCATCCAGGATGCTCACGCTCGGTCCAGGCAGCGAGACGCAGGCAGGGGCCTGAGCGGGAGAGCCGGGCGTGCGGGGGCAGCCGGGGCCGGCGGAGGTGAAAGGAGCGCGGAGCCCAGGCGGCCCTGATCCTGCCTGGTGCCCGCTCCCTCGTGGAGGAAGAGGCCCAGGAGGGTGGCTGCTGGCACCTGAGGGTGCCGGGGCCGCGTGCGGGAGGTGGGTAATCCCTGATTGCCAGCTTGAACTCCAGGTCAGATGGAGATGCCATGTCCTGGGGGCGGGCCGTCAGGAGAGGGGCCTTGGAGGTCAGGAGGTGGATCTGAGACACCTGTGAAGTACACCTGTAATAAGGGAAGGAAAACGCCCTGGCTGGTATGGCTCAGTGGATAGAGCGTAGGCCCATGGACTGAAGGGTCCCGTGTTGGATTCCGGGCATGTACCTCGGTGGCAGGCTCGATCCCGGGCCCTGACTGGGGCCTGTGTGGGAAGCAACCCATCGATGTATCTCTCACATAGACTTCTCTCTCTCTCTCTCTCTCTCTCCTTTCCACACTCTAAAAACCAACGGCAAAATGCAGGTGTCAGAGGAACCCCTGGGAGCGAACATTCCAGCCCAAGCCGATCTCTGATGAGATCCTTATCCGTGAGCAGGTGACCGGCGCCTGCTTCTTAGCGCTCACGTGTGTGGGCTCTTGTAAGGACACGTCTGCACTGATTCAGCATCCACGCAGTATGGGGGGTGGGGGAGGTAAGGTGGTGGGGTGCAGCTTCAAAAACAAAAACAAAGCAGGTTCCTGGCTGCAGTCCTCCAACCCTCCCACACCGCTGAGGGCGGACAGGCTGAGCCAGGGCGCCTCCGCGGCCTCCAGCCCGGCCCTGGGGCCTCGGGCCCAGGACAGGGCTTTCTCCCGGCTTCGGACAGGCGTCCTTTCCCTTACACCCGGCCTCCTGGCTCCCGGGGGGGTGTGAGGACATCGCCCAGCTGCCTGCTTTCTCTCCGCGGCAGATGGCGCGTCCTGGGTAACTTGGTGGCTGTTGATCATCACACACCGCAGCCAGTCCCGTCGCACCGGCACGCCGGCTCGGGGGACGCCTGCCGCACGAGCTGGGAGCAGGTGGGGAGCCGAGGTGAACTTTCCACAGAGGTAGCCGGGCCCGGAACGCTGATGGGAGATAACGCTGTGGCAATGCCGTGCAGAGGAAGGACAGCCTGTCACAGGGACTCCTGTCGCTGGAACGTGGTGATTACCCTGCGGTGGCCGGCCGTGACGCACGGGCTCGGCGCCTCCCCCCGCGGGCGGGCGGGCGGGCCCCAGCGCCTTCCCCGTGGCGGGGCTGTGAGCTGGCCACGCGGGCCCCGGCGGCCCCAGACGTGTAATTAGAGGCTCCGGGCCCGGTGATGCGCAGACAAGTCTTATCGCGTCTGGGCGGCCGTGGGTGCACGTTCCCTCGGTGGCGCAGGCGAGCCGGGCTCCGCGCCAGGCCGATCCCGGGGAGCCGTCCAGGCTCTGCCCAGCCAAGGGCCTGCGCGGAGGTCTCTCTCGGTGGAAAAGCACGCGGAGGAAGAACCTGGCTCCCGCAGGAGCACGGGGCCAGCGGGGACCTGGCACACTCACCACCGCTTCCTGCGCACAGCCCGGGGCGCGGCCGGGCGGAGACACCGCCATCCTCCTCCCGCCTCGGCCTCGGCCTTGCACAAGGAGGGCGTGTCCTCGTCCGGGGGCGGCCTGGGGCCCCGCCCACCGCGGGGGACACACAGCAGGCGGTGGTTAAGATGCTTGACGGGGATCCAAGTTATTTCCAAGGAATGAAGGTGGTGCCTGTGTCCCTGGGGCGCAGCCGTGGAGGCCGGCGCGCACTCTCCTGCGGACTGGCCCTCCCACCGGCCTTTTTACTCCGGGGTTGGGGGAGGGCGGGGCAGAAGCTGTAGATATGTGTGGCCACCGGGTCGTTCTGGAGAACTTGCTGGGGCGACATGCTTGGGTCTCTGGCAGTTTTCTGGACTCATAGATTGAGGGGTGAGGGCACTGGAGACCCCCCTCGCTGGCCTCGTGGCCAGAGCTCAGCTCTTCCTCGGCAGGTCAACCCCGCCCCAGCCTTCCCCCACCCCAGACCCCATCTCCTTGCCAGGCGGTGTGGGCCTTGAGGAACAAAGGGTCCTGGCAGGGTGGCCGGGGTCCTGACAGGTGCATCCCGCCAAGCATGCTGGCCCGGCGCGGACATGGCGCTGAGCCTGTGGACACTCGCTCTCTGGGCGCTGCTCCGCGGCTCAGGCAGCAGTGACTTCCAGTGCGAACTTCCAAGTGCAAGGAAAGCACGGGCTGCACACCCTCCCACAGCGTCAGACACCTGTGCTCCCGTAGTGAGGGGAGCACAGGCGAGGCTGCCGGTTGGGACCCATTTGAATCTTCTACAAACTCATTAGTCAACAGAGCCAAATATCAATCGTAAGAATGAAATTTCTTTGAGAGCCAAATTTTTTAAACGTAAACTTCTTCTAACGCCACTTCTTCAACATAGACTCGCCCAGGCCGTGGTATTTTGTGGAAGAGCCACAATCAAGGGGCCAAAGAGCCGCAAGTGGCTCAGGAGCCACGGTTTGCCGACCACGATTCTGCCCTGTTCTCCGCTCCTAACTTTCCCCAAGTAAGTCCCCAGAACTTCTCTCAAAAGCCGTGATTCCCGTGTGGGGAGGGAAAGGGCCGGAACCGTGGTCTGAGACCCAGCCCCTGCGCGACCTGGATCAACATCCCTCCCACGAACACCTCAAGCTCCGGGCCCGGGTTAGAGAGCCAGGCGCCTCCTGGTTGGTCTACCAAGACGGGAGGGAGGCCTCAGGTGTGTGCGCCCCAAACCTCTAAAGTAGGTTAAAGAACTCAATCAGAGAAGGGGACAAAATCTAAAATCCAGCCTAAATCGCGGGCCGAATGGTTTACTGAACAGTCATAAACTGTCATTGTGATGGAAACGCAGCGGAGTGCAGTGATGACAGCGCGGTGCGGGCCACATTGCAAGGCCTGGCGGGACGGATTTGGCCTGCGGGCCTTGTGTTTGACACATGTGCTCTAAAGGAAACCTGATCACGCACCCTCAGGGCGAAGTGCTGGCTCACGAGAGCTGACCCACGTGGACCCTGCAGAAAGCCTTGGCTGTCTACGCGAGCCTCAGTTTACCTTCTCAGCACCATCACCGTAACGTAGTTACACGGCAACGTGTTTTTAAAGCTTTATTAGCTTTGCACAAAATGCCTAGCAGAATGCCAATATTAATTTGTAAATTAAAGAGTAGAGCCGAAGTCCGTTTTGATAGTCACTATTTCTATCTATATAGTGACAATGTCCACTTCCTGGTTTTGATAACGGACTGTAATTAGATACGATGGTAGCAGTGGGAGAATTGGGGGAATGGGTACAAGGGGACCTCTGGGAATTTGTGAAACTTCTTGGGAATCTGTAATTATTTGAAAATAAAAAGTAAAAAAAAAACCACAAACACCTGTCTATGCATCTGTATATGGAGTCTTTTAAGAAAAAGACTCCATATACCCTAAAACTGTAAGTTATGTGGTGAAATAAAGAACTAAAATAAGACTAGCTCAGTACATGTTTTGATTCTTGAATCAGGAGGCAGATGGAGTAGCTCTGACAGAGGGAGTAGCTCTCACAGATGGAATAGCTCTGACAGATGGAGTAGCTCTCCTTTCTCCAGCTATGAAACCTTCTGGAAGGATCTATGGGCCTCTCTTCTGGATGAGGAACCCTCAGAGTGAAGAAACAGCCTCTTGAACACAGTGAAGACGTAAACAGAATGTAACTTCTGTTAGTGTGAGGACCTTGGTGAAAATAAGAGAGGCAGTGCATTCCGATGATGGCGGCCTGGGCAGACTAACATTTACCTGATTTGGAGTTGACTTACAAGAGTCCCCTTGACCACAGCTCTGCTTCCTGCCACCCGTCCTTCCAGACCCAGCCCTCGGGTCCGCAGGGCACTGTCCGGCTCCGCCTGGGCCCGTGCTGACGGAAAGAGGCTCTAAGCGAAGGGAAGCCTTCCGGCAGGAGGTGAGGGCAGAACTGGAGCCTGTCTCCTGACCTGACTTTGTTTCCAGATAATACCTGCCTCCAGGCCTCAGCGCACAAGTGGCAGCAGACAGACAGCTCTCCCCACTGGGACTGTCTGTGCAGCAGCTGTGTCGGCCGAGGCTGAGCGATGTCGTGAGAATGCTTGAGGGCACGTGGCTCAGTGTGCGGGCTGAGGACTGAACTGGCACACGGTGCTGTGGACAGAATTCTGGTCACATGGTGTTAGCATGGCTGCACACATCAGCACAGGCAGGAAATAACAGGAAAATGCGGGTTGTCTTAAAATCAAAGGCAACCCCAAAGGTAAGAGGGAAACAGATGTGGAACTGATCTTAAGTTAAAAATTAGACTATAAACTGCTTGATCAGCATGGCTCAGTGGTTGAGCATCGACCTATGAACCAGGTGGTCATGGTTTGATTCTTGGTCAAGGGCACATGGCCGGGTTGCAGGCTCGATCCCCAGACTGAGGTGGGCAGGAGGAAGCCAACTAATGATTCTCTCTCATCATTGATGTTTCTGTCCCCCTTCCTCTCTGAAATCAATAAAAATATATTTTAAAAAAATCTATAAAAGCGTAATATGCAAATCAACTGAATGGCTGTCTGGACAACCTTCCAGCTGAAACCAGGACTGCAGCTGCAGGACTGAGGCGGCCACAAGGGCCTACTCTTGCACGAATTTTGTGCATCAGGACTCTAATTCCTATATAAAAGGCTAATATGCAAATCGACCAAAGGGCAGAACGACCAGTCTCTATGACATGCATTGACCACCAGGGGGCAGACACTCAATGTAGGAGCTGCCCCTGATGGTCCGTGTGTTCCCACAAGGGGGCACGCCACTCCACCAGAGCTGGCCGGGCTCATGGCTGGTGGTGGGAGCGTCTCCCGCCTCTGCAGCAGCACTAAGGATGTCCGACTGATGGCTCAGGGAGCGGTCTAAGCCGGCAGTTGGGCATCCCTGAGGGCTGCTGGACTGCAAGAGGGTGCAGGCTGGGCTAAGGAATCCCCCCGCCCCCCCCCCCAAATGCCTGAATTTTGTGCACTGGGCTTCTAGTTAGACTATAATTATCTTTATATTTTCCACCACAATACAAAGCAAAGGCAGTGGAGAAGGGCAAAAGGCAAATAAATGAGATGCAGATCAAGTTGTGGAAAGACAGTACTTTGTCATCCATGGGGCCAGTCTGCCTCGCTGAAGGGCAGGGTTCACACAGCCTGGCTCTGACTGTGTCCCACCAGAGGTCATGAGCGTGTAGGCAAGAAACACTGTTAACAGTATCATAAATAAGTACTGTAACTTTATTAAAATGAAGACAATATTCAAAATAATGCAACAAAAATGGATAAATTCTTTGTCCAATACTGTACACGTAATGCAGACATCAGTGCATTTTCCTAAAGCATGGTTTAACCTTCATTTAGTTCAGACTAACATCGCTTCACGGAGCGCAGACAGTACGCAGCAGTGGAACTGTAAACAGCTGTTGAACTGGCGCGAGCGTCGCGGCCACGCACCTCTGCGGGGAGCGCCTCGGCCGCCGGCCGGACTGTGCGGGGACAGCGGGGCTGTGCAGGCAGTGTGAGCGCGGCCGTGGGCCCGGAAGCAGGTGGTGCTGACGGGACGCTCGAATTAAGACACAGTCGCTCTTGGTCAGAGGCTTTACTTCAAAAGCCGACAATTCCCGGGAAATACTGAGTAGGAACCAGCAACACAAGGCCAGCTTGTGTTGTATGTTTATTAATAGTCTGAAACCCCAACACACACATTCCCAGTCACTCTCAGTCATGTGGCTGTTTCATCATTGCTTAGAGGCACACCCGTAGCGTGGAGCCCACCACGTCCCCCGTTTCTGAGGCAGCGTGACGGTGGCCACTGGGCTGAAGGAAGAGGAGCGGGACACGTCCGGGTGGAAGCATGGTTGCCAGGTAAGCTGCCCGTCCCCCGCAGCGACAGGAAGTGAAGTCTGCACGTCTCGGGTCTGGGCAGTTTTAACTGGGAAGGTACAGCCACGGTAAGGACACACCCGCTCCCCACGGAAAAGGCTGCAAAATACATCCAACAAACATGAAGACCAAAGAGCCAGAAATCTCCAAACGTCTCGGCAAAAATAATCCTCTGTGACTCCCAACACTGTGCGTGCTTCCTTCGCTGTGTGCGGTCTCTCAGGAGCCCTGGTCCGGCTGCGTTTTCTTCTGCAGACACATCGCTGAGACGTGACTAACTGGTTAACCGGCTATGGCTAGGCTGCGCGTTTCCTACGGCATATGCTGTGGGCGTGAGTGTCCCCCCGTCTGCCCTTCACACCTCAGTGGGCTTGGACACGGGGTCCTCAGCATGACAGCACCTCTGCACAGAGTTCAAGTTTATTCTGCACCTGGAACTTCCTCCCTGGACCTCAGACTGGAAAACTCCACCCTCTGCTGCACGGGGACCGGGGCTACGGAGAAACCACGTAGGACAAGTGTTTCCGCTTCGCATGGCCGCCCCCGTCCGCCCTGGCCCCGGGGGCCGTGGCGAGGCCGCCGTCGGCGGGGAAGGGCTGTGCCGGGGAGCTGGCGCTCGCCTCCTCGGCCTCCGTGAAGAACCTCTCGTATCTGTCCAGGTAGGCCGGCCGCTCGGGCAGCAGGTAGTAGTGCGTGGAGCTGACCTTCTTCCCGTTCTCGATGATGGGCAGGATGCAGGGCGCCCGGCTGGCGGAGCCCTCGCTGAGCTGTCTCTGCAGCGCTTTGCTGCTGACGTACTTGGGGTCCGGGGCGAAGCTCTGTGTGGGGGGCATGACGCCGTTGAGGTAAGACGGAAGGCTTTTGGGGCTCGGGGTGCGGGAGTTGCTCCGTGACAGGGGCTCCCGGGGCGGCACTTTGGGGGGCCTGTCCTCGTCGCTGTAGGTGCTGGACGTGACCTCCGCCGACCACCGTCTGTAATCGGGCTTGACGGGCCGCGGGGGGATGGGGACCCGCGGGGGCACCTCGGGCTTGTCTGTGTCGGGGTGGGGGGAGGCTCGGGGGACGGGGCCGTGCACCCTGGCGGCCGGCTTGTGGAAGGAGCCGGCGGGGCCCGAGTGCGACCGCCGGAGCCGCCGGTGGCTCTGCGGCGCGGGCGGGTCCGAGGGCTGCGCCCCCGCCGTCTGCTCGGCGGCCTGGCTGAGGTCCACCACGGACACCGTCGGGGTCTCGAAGTAGGCGTAGTTGATCTGCCCGCAGCCGCGGAAGCTGCGCCGGCCCGGCGCGCCGTGCTTGAACTCGGGGGCCGCGCCGTCTCCCAGGAGCAAGGCGGTGTCGGAGCAGGTGAGGAACTGCACCTCGCAGTCCGTGTCGTCCAGCGAGAGGCCCTCGGAGATGGGCAGCGGGGGCAGCGGCCGGGAGCCCGCCACGCAGGGCACGGGGGACGGGCCGCTCCTCATGGGCGTGAGCGGGGGCGTGGGGGCACTCACCCCGTTGACCGACAGTTTCTTAAAGCCACACACCACCGGGTCCTCGTCGAGGGGCCCCGCGCTGTCGCTCGGGGGCAGGACGAGCGGGGGCAGGCTGGGCTTCTGAGAGGGGCCGTGCTCAGCGAGGCGGTGGCCGCTGGTCGGGGCAGGTGCCGAGGCGCGCCCTGCAAAGGACGGGGTAGTGAGGACCAGCAGTGCCCGCGTGGGGGCAGCCCACTGCCTACCCTCTCCTGGGGCGGCCGCCTGCACCGTCACGGGCCGCGGACACGGCGCCGCCCCACAGGTGTAATTAGCTGGAGATTGTGAGCGCACATGATCTGGTTCAAAGAACAGACTATCTCTTCCATCTCCCCCACATGCGCAGGGCACACGCCTACACACGCAGGCAGGTTCTGTGACATGTGCACAATTCGCAGAAGACGGCAGCATATAATTTCCCTGAGTGCCACCCGCAGCGCCAGGTCACAAGAGGGCGGGGCCGAGATAAGAGGGAGCCCCACGAGGGTGGCAGCCTGCAGTGTGACAGCAGCTCCCGGCAAAAACCTAAGGGATAGGACGGCCACATGATGAGGGCCGTGTGGTGTACTGTGCGCCGTTCCGAGCTCCCGCCCACATCCCCACTCCTGTGCCCTCGCACACGGCTGTGCGCGGCCGGACAGACCGCCTGCGGGGCTTCCTGCCCGGGACCAGGGACGTGAGTGTGAGAGGGACAGGGTATCTTCAGACCTGCTGCCACCAGGGGGCACACTGCTGCTGGAACAGTCAGGTTGTTCCCTCTTTTTTTTTTCTTTTTTTTTTTAATATGTTTTATTGATTTTTTACAGAGAGGAAGGGAGAGAGAGAGAGAGCTAGAAACATCGATGAGAGAGAAACATCGACCAGCTGCTTTTTGCACACCCCCTACCGGGGATGTGCCCGCTACCAACGTACATGCCCCCAACTGGAATCGAACCTGGGACCTTTCAGTCCAAACCAGTTTCGGCTGTTTCCTCTTTTTTAAAGAGCAAAGCTGGACCCGCTAACAGCCCTCTGCCACCTGCCACCTCCCCACCCCCCCACCCGCCCCCTTCCCTCCCCCGGGCCGCCCTCTGGGACCTGCAGGACTCGTACCTAGAGACATCAGGTGGGCCTGAGTGGTCGCCTTCAGGCTGTAGGCCATGGCGATAGGGTGGATGTTCAGGAAGTTACTGAAATGCAGCAAAGACATCTCAGTCAGAGACCAGTGACCCACCCCACCCCATCCGCTCCATCCACCGCAGAGCCCGCGCCCCCCACGCCCCCCGCGCCCCCTGTGCCCCCACTCACTTCCCCAGCTCCCGGCGGCGGCCCCAGCATGCGTTCAGGCTCCCCAGGGCCTGGCCATCGTGCAGAAATGCCTTCAGCGGCACGCGGATCTCCTGGGCAGCGACTCCCGCGGTGGACATCCTGCACCGTGGGCGTCAGGCGGCGAGCAGCATCTGGTCCCTGGAGGGGGGGAAGGATGAGAGGTGCAGAGACAGCTCAGAAACACCGTCAGTAACCCCCTACGGCATCCGAGCGCCGCACAGAGACACATTCTCCCCGGTTCTCCCCGGCACAGCCATTCCTCCCTCCTGTGAGGGAACTTCAAACGCACACACTGAAAGCAAGTTTCCCCAGTCCTGGTCTAAGACGTGCAGTGCTTTGAGCAGAGGGAAATACCCGTGGCCAGGAAGAGGGGCCCTCCTGGTGGGGTGCAGGGGCAGCCCCCTGGACGCTCACCACTCCCCCTGTCACTATACAGTCACGGGCGCACGAAGCCCACGCCTCGCTAGCCCACAGCCAGCACCAGTTCGGGGGCTGTATCCCAGGGCTGGCCCGGGAAGACAAACCCTCCGGGGACGCCTTCTCAGGAGAAAGGAACACAGGCAGGCAGACACCAACTTCCCGATCCTGTAAAACCAGGTCCTGCCCGCTGGCCGCTGCGGGCGGCTGGCCGGCTTCCCCGGCCTGAGCATTCTTCACATTCCCTTCTCTGAGGGCCTTGCTGCAAGGCCTGGGCACGGAGGCCAGCGACTCCTCGGCTTCAGGGACCCCTCCCTCTCCCAGAGAGGGAGGGAGTGGGGGAGAGAAACATCGATCGGTTGCCTATGGATGTACCCCAACTGGGCACTGAACCTGAACCTCCACGCCCGCCCGGACATCAGACCAGCGGCCTGTCAGGGACAGGATGCCGCTTGTCACTGGCCCGGCCAGGCCCTCTGCCTCTTCTCAACGCTCCTTTATTGTTCACGATCACATCAATGCCAACGTGACTGGCATCTCTGTGGGCGCCGTCTTCAGATAACCTACGGGGGAGGACCCAGCTGTGTGCAGAGCCCCTCGGAGATGTGTGCGTACACTCTACACTGCTCTCACATTCTCGCCGAAAGCGTGCACACCGAGGGTGGTGTGCCAGACCTGGGGTGGGAGGGGGCAACAGGCTATTTTTTGTTTTGATTTAGGGACAGATCTGACCCCTCTGAGCTGACTGAGCTCAGATACAGGCTGGTCCCATCATTAGCCATCGCTGCCCAGAGGGAGCTCAGTCCGTGACTGTATAGTGACGTCTATTATTGCCATCGGTGTCAGAACGTACATGCACAGGGTTTGCTTTTTCCACAGAAAAGGGGAGAGAGAAAGAGAGAGAGAGAGAGAGAGAGAGAGAGAGAGAGAGAGAGAGAGAGAGAGAGGAAGAGAGATAGACAGATGGATAAATATGTTTAAGTCTCAGGCAGGGAGTCAAACAGGTTAGCACAGAATTTCAGAGTATTCAGTCGCTCTCTAGAGAAGAAAACATCACTGGGTGAAGCTCAGTCAGCGGGAGGTTTGGTTTCCAGATCACTGAGATGCAGTGCTTTTCCTCCTCCACCGGAATCAGGAAAGCTGGGAGCAATCTAACCCCACGCCAGGGAACACACACTGCAGGCGCCTGCAGGCACTGCAGACCCCGGGCGAGCGCTTGCCGCCTCCACGTGAGAACCGGGTGGGCAGGAGCACGGCGGCGGGGCCCACGTGGGGAGGCTGCGCCCAGATGGCAGGGCGGGCCGGCGAGCCCAGCCCCCACCTGTCCGCGGGCCAAGGGCTAGTAATTACCGCCTGTCGGCTCCTCACCACCGACATCTGAGCTTTCAACAGGGCGATTGTGTAACCACTGTAGCCTCTGCAAAATCGCCTCGATCCGAAGCTTACATCCCAGTGGCCCTGGAAGTTATGTGTGTGTTCTAGAAAAAGTTATTTTTCACTCATTGTTCCCATCACCTACTTGTTAGCTTTCTTAAGAAAAAAAATTTTTCTAGTCTAAAAAGAATTGTGCTCGCTGCGCCAGCTCGCTCCTGGCCACAATGGTGTCTTTGTGCATTCATCGGAGGCAACCTGCCTCCGCCGCTCAATGGGGGATTGTGAACAACGCGTTATGAAACGTCGGACTTCCTACTCGCTAGCAGGGAGCGCGGAGGGCAATATAATTTTATGCTCTTCTTTCGGAAAACACTCCACGCTGCGGATCAGGGGGGCAACCCGCCCGCGTGGTCCGTGCCCGCGGACGGTAAACTGAGGGTGAGCCTCTGAGCCGCCTGCAGCGCTCGCAGGTCTCCGGTATGCAGCCACCGGCCTGGGTGGGGGTGGGGGTGGGGGTGAGCCCTCGGTCACCCTCAGGTTAGAGAGGAAACGTGCTGCAGTGCTTCCAAGCCTGCTTCCTTCCTCACAGCCGTCAGAGGAAGGAGCACACAGCCCCTGCGGGAAGCCGGCCCCTGCGGGCAGAGGGCCTGTGTGCGCCCAGGCAGCCGGTCCCGGCCCGGGGCTTGCTCCCTTCCTGACACCCAGCTCGGCTCCAGTGTCAAATGCAGCTGATGCCGTCCCAGATGCGAACTTTTCCCAGCACGTTTCTTGGGGGGGGGGGGGGTCCTTTTAGACCCCCCTCTCCATTTTAATCCTTCACCTCTGCACAGAGCGCCCCAATCCTGGCTCCATTGTCTGGTGGTGATCTTTGCATGTGGGTGGTCCTCTGGCACCCCCAACTCTACAAACCGGGCTCCTGTCACTCACTTCAGACCCCGCCCACTTTCCCAGCCAGCTCGGGGTCTAGGTCAGCGATGTGCAGCTGGTGCCCCAAGAATGTTTAAAGCACATGTGTCAAACACAAGGCCCGCGGGCCAAATCCGTCCCACCAGGCCTTGCAATGTGGCCCGCACCGTGCTGTCAACACTGCACTCCGCTGCGTTTCCATCACAATGACAGTTTATGACTGTTCAGTAAACCATTCGGCCCGCAATTTAGGCTGGATTTTAGATTTTGGCCCCTTCTCTGATTGAGTTCGACACCCCTAGTTTAAAGCATGTGATACCTGACGATTCAGTAGGGGCACCGACCGCTTTTCCCTTAAAAAACTGTCCAAAAAATGACAAAAGCCAACACAGCAACAGCCATCCAGTGTGAACGAACCATCATTATAGCCCCAAACGTATTTTCTGATGCAGCAGAATTTTAGTAGTTGATGTCCCATGAGGTGAACAGGCTGAACACCGCTGGTCAGGAGGCCCACTCTCCTAGAGGGGCCGTTTTTAACCTGAGCCTCAGCCGCTCTAGCTCAGCCCCCCAGCTCCATGGTCCTCCTTCCTGCTCACTGGCTGCCCCGCTCGGGCCCCAGCTCCTCCTCCCCCGGGTCTCTGAGGACTCACTGCTCCTCAGGGCCAGCTGAGCCACCTGCTCCTGCCCACTCTCCGAATCTAGGACAGCCTGGCTCCCGGGAAGTCCCGCACCAGTGTCCAATAGTGACGTGGATGTTGAGAAAACTCATCTCTTTAAAAAAAAAAAGGGGGGGGGGATTATGCGAAAGACACACACACTACAAATCAGCAGAGAACCAAGGAAAAAAGAGAGGATTCTAAGGGCCACTCAGGGCAGAGCAGGCAGGCACGTGCCATCCCATCCTCCGCCCAAACCAAAGTGGCCAGTGCGCACCCCGGGAACAGCGAGCGCTCAGCTGGTGTTCACTTAAGGCAGTCGGGGCGCTCCTGAAAACGGGGTCCCCCCTGGCTCCCACGTTACTTCTTCTGGCTGATAAGGCACCTACTGTCTCTTTACGGTTAGAGTCAAAACAACGCCGTAAGCACCCTGCAGGTTCCTTAAGGTGAACTTCACCTTTGGACGGTCTCTTTGGAACTTTAAAAAACCGGGCTACCTTAAGACAATAACCTAGATCTGCTTACCTGGCCACCAGATCTCATTAATAAATCGCAGAAGCAGCCCACAGAGGAGGAGGGGCACATTTTTGTCACTCGACTCATCCAGTTCTGCCCAGCGCTTCCTTATTTAAAAGTGTGATGTAATTTCCTTCTCTCAATCTGGTTTTAGAACCTGATTTCTGTTTATTCAGGGCGATAAGTGGTCTTTTCAGCTGCATTTAACAATTACCTGCACAGCTACTCCCCGACCCACGGGGACGGAAGGGAGGACACTTAGGGGCAAAGTGTGTAAAAAGAAACTGATTTAGGAACACGGCAAACCCCATGATTTTAAACCTCCCCACGTAAACCGACACCTGCATGTTTATCTACCTTCTGAAATAAGAATAAAGATTCGTGTCTGAAGCACTAGTAGCCAAGCCATTTGAACTCGTGTGGAACTGTAATTTTTTTATTTTTTGTTAATCCTCCCCCACGGATATTTTTTCCATTGATTTTAGAGTGGAGTGGGAGGGGGAGGGGAGGGGAGAGAAACATCGACGTGAGAGACAATGGATTGGATCGAACCTGCAGCCCAGGCACATGCCGTGACTGGGGCTGAACGTGACCCTCCCGGGGGCTGATGCCTCGCTCTAACCACTGAGCGGGCCAGGGCGAGGACTGGGATGTGATCAATAGGAGGGAACTCACTCGTCTGACACTCACTGTACCTTCAGTGCTACCTCAGCAAAGGCTTCCAAGGCCCACAGGGTCCCTCCTGGGTGATGGTTTGGGGGGGCCAGGCCGGGAGGACCCCGCTCCTGGGGTGTGTGCAGCCTTCACATTGGAGCTCAGCGGCTTCATGGTTTGCATTATGTCAATAAAATGTAATTAAATACTCGCGCACCAATGCAAGCTGAGCTGGTCGGCTCCGGTGAAGATGGAAGTTAGCTGGGGCGGTTCGGACTGACGTGTCCCCATGCCTGGCACAGACGGGCCTGTTTGTAAAGGATAAACCGGAGGCAACAGGAAGGCAATTTCCCTTCAGATGGTCAGAATCAAAGCTAAGTGAAAGGTGAGAGGGAGGGGATGTGTGGGAGGGAAGGAGGGGGGCAAAAAAAAAAAATCAATAAAATATATTAAAAAAAAAAAAAAGGCTAAGTGAAAGGTGAAAAGCTCAGTGACCTAACTTCTTGAATAATTGGGAATATTCCCTCGCTAAGTGTTAGGAAACCTCCTCGCTCCCGACCCTGGTCATCACCACGGACCCGACTCCTGCAGGCCAGCGCAGGGCGGCCACGCTGCGTCCTTCCTGGGAGGCGGGAGCTCCTTCCTCCCTCCCTCCCAACCTGCGCACCATTTCTGCGCTCTGGGGAGGGGCAGTGACAGCAGCACGTGGTCTGGTGATGGAAGCAAACCCTGAGAAGTTCAGATCCACTCCGAGCATCACAAAGCCACCGGGGCCAGCCACTCCGGACAGTCACGGGAGCACAGCGCACCGGACCCTACTGGACAGGCCTGTGCTGAGCTCCGTTTATACCAACTTACTTAACCCTCAGCCCTGGGGAGAGGCTATGACTCCCTCAGTCTCAGGTGAGGATCGGAGGCAAAGGTCACGTCTGGCGACGGTGGGAGCCTGGTGTCAAAGTCCCCCCATCTCTTCAACCCCTCGGGTACCCGGCAGGTGCGCTCTGACCACCATAGACATTTCCTGTCCCTTCATCTCCCCTGAAAGGGTGGGTGAGCCCTGGCTGATGTGGCTCAGTGGTTAGAGTGTTGGTCTGCAAACCAAAGGGTCTTGATTTCATTTTGGTCAAGGGCACATACCTAAGTTGCAGGTTTTGATCCCTGTGTGGTGAGTGGGAAGCTACCAATGGATGCACACGGATGCTCCCTCCCTCCCTCCCTCTTTCTAAAAAAAAAAAAAGATCAATGGGAAAAATATCCTCAGGTGAGGATTAACAAAAATAAAATCAAGGGCGGTGAAGGCATTAAGCTCTCCGACTCCTTTAATCAATTCTTTGGTAGCTCCATCTCTAACGGTGCGGGCCCCCAAGCCCCCATCATGCACCATTTCAACGCCCCATGTGCGTCTTCACCAGGACCAGTGGCCATTTCCTACCCCACCCCACCCCACCCCACCCTCCTTCCAGGCAGCGCACAGCGGGCCTCCCCCAGCACAGGCCTATTGGAAAGCACTTTCTCACCATCATCTCACTCGATCCCTCAACATCCCTGTGAGAAGAGGGGATCAGGCTCCATTTCAAACAGGAAACGAAGCACCACTTCCTGTGCAGCCGCCCAGGACCCCGCATTTCCCGGCCACTCGCCTGCCTCTCCCTGCAGAGTGGCTTTGTGCGGGGCGACCCTGGTCCTCCTTTGACACCTTGTTTACAGACGGGGAGAGGGACGCGGAGATGGACGGCCGGCTACGAGCGGCTCCGAGAGAAACAGGAACTGGACTCAGTGTTGCTCACAAGCCCTAGAGGGCAGGGGTTAATTCCTTTCACCAATGGTTACCAAATGCTTCCTCTGGACCAGACACCATGCTCAGCAATGAGGAGTCAAACTGGTGAGGGAGACAACAGTCAAAGCAGCCATTTCGGACTGTGAGGCCTCCCAAGGACGCAGAACAGCACGAGGCCGGGAGCCAGAGCCATTCGCACAGGTGGCTAGGGAAGGCCTCTGCGGGTGACTTAAACTCTCACCTGAGGACACGAGAGGGGGAGGGTGGGAGGGAGGGAGGGGGAGGGGGGAGAGGGAGGGAGGGAGGGGGAGAGGGAGGGAGGGAAGGGGGAGAGTGACGAGAGAAACACTGATGTGAGAGAAACATCCATCTGTTGCCTTCTAGCACTCCCTGCCTGGAGGTCGAACCAGCACCCCAGGTATGTGCTCTGACTGGACTCCAGCTAGTCATGTTTCTGAGCATGTGATGACGCTCAACCAACCGGGCCACTCCTGCTCGGACTTGCAGGTAACTTTCAAAAAATGTATTTTTATTGATTTCAGAGAGGAAGGGAGAGGGAGAAATGGAAACATAAGATGAGAAGCTCAGTCGGCCCCTTACTGGGAGCCTGCAGCCCGGCACGTGACCTCCTGGTTCATAGGTCGATGCTCACCCACTGAGCCCCGAAGCCGGCATCAGTGGGTTTGGTATAAAATCCAAAGGGTGGAAAGAGGCAGTCACAGCAGCGCCCCCAGGCGGGGTAGTATTTTTTAGGCAATCTGACTGGTCCAGATTCTCCTTCAGGGTCTTTCCTCAGAGCCATGGACACTGTCTTCCATCCTGACCATCCTCCTGGTTCCTCTCTAACGGTGATGGTTTTTGAACTGTGGCATGAGGAGCTGAAGAGGCCTAAACATGGGGCCAGAACCCGTATTTAAACGAGTATTCACTGCAGCCCGGAAGTGGCCTGTTAGTAACACTGCCCTGTGTGACGGCACAGGGATCGGATTAAAGTCTCAGCAATGACTCCACTCAGAATCCTTTGTTTCCTCTCTGAGCCTCCGAGCTGGGAGCTGGCACTAACTTTCCCTTACCTTCAGACTAACCTCTCTGTTGTTGCCGAACCTCACCAGAGGATGGTTTTCAGAGTGTTTAATCGGTAATCAAACCTGAGACCCTCTGGTGAGCCGGACAACACTGCCACTGAGTCACACGGCCGGGCCCAACTTCTCTACCAAACTTACACTCAGAACCTGAAACCCCCGTTCCACCTGCCTGCACAAAGCATGTGTTTCCACTGTGCCAGCGAGGCCGGGATGCCACACGGCACTGCTTATCAGGGCTGCTCCTCGGCTCCCATCAGCGCGGTCCGCCCGGCATGGAGGGGGCCCGCCCTGCACGGAGGGTGCTGCGGGCCTGGCCGAATGGGAGCAGCTGTTTCTCTGGCAGAGGGAGCCCAGGACGTTCAAACTCCTGGAATTACCCGGCACCACCTCCTCCCTCCTCTGCCCCTTTCTACAGCAACCGGATGGCATGTGGCCAGTCAGGTCGGTTGCAGGCGTGCTGGGTTGTACCTGTAATTTAGCAACCGGCTTCGGGAAGCTCCCGTCAGCGTGAGCAGAGCAAGTGTGATGTGGCTCAGCTTCGGAGAAGCGGCAGTTAAGAGTTACAGTCACACAACGCTTGGGTCTGCGGTGTGATCGTTAAGTCTCAGAGGAAGAGAGACCTGTTTTTAGGGAGCTGGAAGAAGGAAAGACAATTCATGGAAAGTGTAATTTTTACCTAACAAAACAGGGATAACTCGGACATTTCCTATCCGTCACTAAACTACAGGTGTGCTCTGCGACCCTTATCAGCCACTGATTCATTTCTGCTGAACTTTAAAATGTAAAATCTGCTTTCGTGCAGTTATTTATCAACCATTAACTATGTGCCCGGGCCTAAAAGATGGAAGCTGTGCAAGGCAGAGGCCCTGCCCTTAAGGAGTTTACAATCTAATGTGTGTCAGGTTGTACATTGTTAGTCCAAGACCTCTGGCACCTATTAGCGGACAGCCACTGGAACCAGGCTGGCCCGGCCCGCGAGTGTGACCTCGGAGCCAGGAGGTCACGGTTCGATTCCCGGTCAGGGCACAGGCCCAGGCTGTGGACTCGATCCGCAGTGTGGGGCGTGCAGGAGGCAGCGGATCCATGGTTCTCCCTCATCATGGATGTCTCTCCCTCTCCTCTCTGAAATCGATAAAAAACACAGAAGCAGTGGGAGGACGGCGCGCTGACGGCCGAGCTAAGCCTCCGTTTCTCTTTGGGAAAGCGCCCGGCAGCTCGCATCCCGGCCACAGTCAGCGTGGAAACATGAAACCGGCTTTTATTTTGGTCTTACCCAAATCTGGTCATTTCCTCAAATGGGTACCTAGCCCGTCTTTGATCTGTTTAAATACAGCTTCACTCAAAACTGTGTAATTACAGACACGCAGAGAGACAGACAGACGGAGCGGGGAAAAGCAGTTTTAACAAAAAGGGGAGACTGTGGGGAACTGAGACGTTTGTCTCCTCGGCAAACACATTCGAATGATCTGTGAAGGCTCCACACTGCGCACCACACCGGCCCCGAAGAAGCAGCAGCAGCAGCAGCAGCAGCAGCAGAAGCAGAAGCAGAAGAAGAAGAAAGCGCTTTGGCCTCACCTTCCCTCACCCTGACAGTTGCCTGGAAACCGGTCCTGCCCTACCTGTGCGGCAGGTGTCCCCGAAGTCACCGCACATCTTTTAAAGCTACAGTCGCTGCTCTGCCTGCACTTAAGTTTATGACTAACAATCTATTCATATATATATATGTATTTTTTTTAATCAGGTAAGAGACTGGTTTCTTTCACGCCATGACGAAACCCTCATAAAGCCTCAGCCAGCGCCGGCTCCAATCGCGGCCGAGGAGGCGTCCCATTCGCAGGAGCCGGCGGAGCAGACACACAAACACACACACGTCCGCCGGGAGGCCCAATGGGCCGCCGGCCCTTCGCCCGGAGCCGGCCGGGAGGGAGAGGGTCCGGAGGGAGGCGCGGGGCGCGGGAGGAGCCGCAGACCCGCCTGCGGGGCCGGCCGGGCAGCGCCCACCCCGCAGCCTCCACCGCGGACGGCGGCGGCGCGGGGCCGCTCCATTGCGGGGAAGGGGACGGCGAGGCCGCCGCCGCAGCCCCGCGGGACCCGGCTCCCGCCCCGGCGCCCGCGCCCCTCAGGCGACCGGTCTCCGGCCGAGGCGCGTCCGGGCGCCCGGTGCGCGGCGGGGAGGCGAGGGCCCCCAGGCCCGCCCAGCCGCCCCTTCTTCCCTCCCTCCCTCCCTCCGCCCGTCCCTCCCGGGGGAACGCCGCGCTGGGCGACCCTCTGGGACCCGCCCTGCGCGGGAGCCGCCCGCGGCCCGAGCGGCGGGGGCGCGGCGCCGCCCTCCCCCCGGCCCAGGCCCCTTACCCCGCGGAGCCGCGGCTGCCCCCCGGCGCCCTCCCGCGCATGTCCGTCCCGGCTGGCTCCGCGCCCGGTGGGGGCCGCACCGCGCAGGCGCCGCCGCTCCGTCCGCCAGCCCGCGCTCCCGCTCGCACTCGGCCTCCGTCGCCCCGCCGCGCCGCCCGCTTTATACGCTAGGGGGCGGGGCGTGACGTCGAGGCCCCGCCCACACCAGGGCAGCCAATCCCGGCAGCGAGCCATTTAAAGGGGCGACGCCAGGCGGCGGAGGCGCTCGCGTGGGGTCCGCCGCGTCCCGGGGCCTGAGGGGACGCCGCCCTGGTCTTCCGGGGGCAGCGAGGGGGCGCCTGGGGGCCCCGGCGGCGCTGCGAGCGCGGGCAGCCGGTCCCGCCTCCGCCAGGGGGCGCCGCGGGGGCTGCCCAGCTCACCAGGGGCCCGGGCCCCAGCGTGGGCGGCCAGCGAGGGCCCGTGCGGGGTGGCCACGGCCACGGGCGGGGGCGGGGGCAGACAGTGCCCGGGGGCAGCGGGGTCACCTGGGACGCGAGCCACAGAGTGGGGAGCGGGGGGCGGCGCGGGGACCGCGTGGGGCCGCGGAGGGAGGGCGCCGCCGCACTGCTGCCGCCTCTGCTGGGAGATGGAGGGGGTGCCGGCCTCCCCTCCCCCCCACCACGGGTTTGAGAGGGAGGGGAGGGGAGGACCTCCCACGGGACCCCCCCCCCCCCCGACCACGGGTTTGAGAGGGGGCCCGTGGGAGGTCCGAGGGCCCGGCCAGGACCTCCCCCGGGCCCCACAGGCCCCGGGCCGGCCTCCGTGTCAGGCCCACGCCGGCCTCCCAGCCCGCGGCCTGGCCCGCGGCCACTGATGCCCGAGGATGCAGCGCCCGCCAGCCTCTCCTGGGCGCCGCCGGTGATGCAACCTCAGGCTTATAGTTTAACCGTAAAATAAATAATACAAATGATAACAAACCAAGAGTCACTAAAGTGAGAAAAAAAGCAAACAAGACAGAAACCCTCCAGCTGGAACCAGAACAAACCCCCGGAGCGGGACTCCACGGAGCCAGAGGCCTCCCGCTGACCTCGGGGGCTCCCGGCCGGGCGGGCCGGGCCGGGCCTGCGGCTCAGCAGTAGCGCCCGGAGGGGTCCCGGGGGTCCCCATGGTCGTGCCTCGAGCGGCCTCACCGGGATGGCCTACCGCAGGGAACGAGAGATCCCGACCCCATTATCAGGTTAACCATTAACTCTGCGCTCCATGAAAGGATTTGCCTTTTCTCCCCTATTATTTACTTACATTCTTTAAAATTTAATTCGAAGGCTTAGTTTTGAATGCAAGCCTTGGAGCGCATGCACACACACACGCACACACACATGACTCGTGTGCACACAGGCACACACACAAACAACTGAAGTATCTCTCTGCCCTTTTCCAGCTGCCAGATAAACGAATGTTTATGGGAGAGGCCTCCCGCCTCCCCCGGGCCTGCTCGAAGCTTTGGGCTGTTTCCCTATCTGTGCTCTTATCAGCAGCTCGGGTAATCCCATCTTTTTGTTCACGGCTTACTTACTCCTTCGTTCAGTGTTAGTTTAGGAGGGAGGAAATTAGTCACCACTCATTGCCGGTTTTCTTACCAAATTAGGTTATTTATATTTTTTGATTCACAGAAGATGCAGATTCATGTGCCCCACCCGCCCCACTCTGCCTTCACCTGTGTTTGCAGCTTCACCCCGGGCTGTTGCGCAGCCAGGACCAGAGAACATCCTGGCCTGGGGCTCAGGACTCGGGCAGCTTTTGCTGAATGGGGGCCTCGGGCTCCGGTTTCCTCCGAAGGGAACCCTGGCTGCGGCTGCTCCGCGTTGCCTCAATGCGATTGTAATCCGCGCCGCCCCGCTGGCATGCTTTTGCATTCCCCTATTCATAAAACCGTGATAGTCACCCAGCAACCAGCACACACACCCCTCCGAGAAAGAAGATCCGGGGATACTCACTAGAACAGGGGCTGTGTGGCTGTGAGCGGTAATAATTTGCTCATGTGTTGGTCAAGCATCCAAAGCCATAAAATCACACGAGGAATACGTGATGGATCTGACTTCTTCCCCCTGCTGCTCTCTTTTAAACTTGCAAAATAAACGGACTTATTTTTTTATTTTTATTGGAGGGGTGGAGAGGGAAGCCGGTTATGGCTGGTAGCTTACTGAATGTTGCTTGCGATGCTAATTCCTACGCTATGGCTCTCTCGACTGTGAGTGAGTTACATGAGGAGACTCATACCCTGCAGACCTTTGATGCAATAGTCTAAGGCTATTTCGTTATACCACTGACATGCCAAGAATGGAGTGTTTGGGGAAGAGTTTAAGAGGAAAATGCTAAGTACCTTGAAATAATGCTCGCAGGTTGCACCTACCCGGCGACCCTTCCCGCTGACTTTTCCCAGACGAGAACACTGGTCTAGGGGTGCAGGGAGGAACACCTCTTTGTATTGAAGTTCCCTTGTTTTAAACTGCCTGCAGCCAAGAGGACATTTAAAGTCAGACGGCGTCTCTTTTACATCTCTCACAGTCCATTTAATTTTGAGGCCACTTCTCACTGAATTTACATTCCTAGCTGATTGTGTGTGTGTGTGTGTGTGTGCGCGCGCGCGCGCGCGCGTTTATGTAAAAAACCCTAAACATAACATCTAAAGCCTTAGACTGAAGCACATTGACCCAAAGTGTCACGTTGCCCTTCCCTCTCTTGGTGTAAGAAGAAGCTGTCCTTGGAGAGAGCACAAAGGGAGGCTGTGGCTCAGAACCGGAGAACTGGGGTCGCTGCTGAGCTCAGACGCTGGCTCCCTCTCCCCCTGCCTGCCGCCTCCCCGGACACACATTTCCACAGTCTTTGAATCCCACAGGAGAATGCACATGTTGGTGGTTATTGCTCTCAGTTATAAGTGTTTTTGTTTCTTAATTATAAATGGTTTTGTGTTCCTCCTTTTAAACAAAGAAATCTTTTCAATGGAGCTGCTGTTGGCATTATTACACTTAGTCCTGGAGCCTTGACTTCGGTCCGTTCTTGGTTTAAATGTAACTATGCCTTTAAATATATATATATATATATATATATATATATATATATATATATATTTATATTCATATATAAAAGGTATATATAACGATGCCTTTAAATATATATATATATATATATATATATATATATATATATATATATTGATTTTTTTACAGAGAGGAAGGGAGAGGGACAGAGAGTTAGGAACATCATTGAGAGAGAAACAGCTATCAGCTGTCTCCTGCACACCCCCACTGGGGATGTGCTCACAACCGAGGTACAAGCCCTTGACCGGAATTGAACCTGGGGTCTTTCAGTCCACAGGCCGATGCTCTATCCAGTGAGCCAAACTGGTTTTTGGCAAATGTAACTATGCCTTTAAATTTATTTACCAATTTATAAATAAGTGTGCGGTTAAAAAACATGACAATGGGAGGAAGAATTGCATTTCTTACAGGGTGGCTTGTGTAGTGTGCTGTTGTATGTTTTGGAAACACTCAGGCACAGGCATATAGCTTATGTAGCCAGTAAGCTGTGAGGATCACTGTAAGACATGCATGCTGGTAAAAGGTGTGATTCACACACAGGCATGCTGTCAGCTTCCACAGCCCTTCGAAAAGTCTCACAGAAGAAGATTTCTTTACAATTTCCATTCCCCCCCCCCCCCATGGATTAGGGGTACTCTGCCCCTGCCCAGTATGCTCAGCTGGTGAGACGATTGAGCAAGCTGGCTCTGATTGATCGGTCTGCTGTTCGAAGTGTTGGCTTAACTACTTCCTAAAACCGACTTTTTCTTAGTTGGGGTTTTAGAGATGTTGTTTGTATAGTTATTTTTTAATTGAGCCACTTTTCACTTACCTTACGTTCCCTTCAATGGGCAGTTGATATTCTTGGTGGTTATTCTATTCCTAGTTCTATCTCGTTTCTAGAACTTAGAAGCATTTAGAATTTCTTAGTGTTCTATAGATGCATTCATTTAATATGTGGGTGATTACAAGACAGGGTTTTTTGTTTTTGTTTTTCAAGTTTCTTCTAAATATTCATCTGATAGTATCTTCAAATGTTACCAATACATGTTCTCCCAGGGAAAGGCTGCAGTTCCTATGAGCTGGCCAGTAGGGTGTGCTCTAGTCCCTTGCCAAATAAATAAATAAATAACACACATGGAACCCCTTCTTTAAGAGATCTCAGGAATACATTCCACACCTTCATGGCCACCAACACGGATGAGACATGTTTATATGGACACAAGCAGATAGTTCACATGCCCGACATATGTGGAAAATAGGATTGTTATGTTAGGAAAAAGGAGGCTTTGAAATGTTTGCTCCTGTGAAATCAGCTCCAAGATAATAAATCAGTCCCTTGGCAACATATTTCCTTTCATTCTGGGTAAAAGAAGAAGAAAAATGGTGTAGTTCTGGCCGGGTTTCTCAGTGGTTAGAGCGCCAGTCCTAGGATTCGAATGCCTGTTGAGGGCAAGTATGATACCTTTGTTGCAGTTCCCAGCACTGATAGGGGTGTGCGCAGGAGGCAACCAATTGATGTTCCTCTCTCTCTCTCTCTCTCTTTCCCCTCCTCCCTTCCTCCCTCCCTCCCACTCTTTCTAGAAATCAATGGGAAAAATATCCTCGGGAGAGGGTTAAAAACAGAAAAGCGGTGTTGTGACGAAGAGCCTGGAATCGGGGGATGTGGGTGTGAATCCCAGCTCATCGGCTGTATGACTCAGGCAGGTGACTTAGCCTCTTGTAAGACGGGGCTCCGTGGCCCCCACCAAGAGGGCTGCTGAGCAGGAGTGAGAGTGTCCGTGTGAGATGTTTAGAGCCGGGCCTGGCCCCCACTGGGTTTCCAGGCCGGCTAGCCGCCTTCATCAGTATTATTATTCTCGTTGTTGTTGTCGTCTATCTTTTGAGAGATATTGAAGCACGTTTCCTGGCAAGGTTCCAAAACGCTTTGTTGCTTATTAGTGTATGTGACTTAATTGGGCCAGGAGGTTGTTTCATGAAATTTCCAGGAGCATAAATGATTTATAAGATAAAATGTCTTACCTTTATCTGCAGTGCTTCCACATAGGAGGCTGTAAAATCTTCAGCCGAAGAGCTGGATCTGTCAAAG